CCATCTCCATCACATCTCTTTACTTGTTTGTAATACTTTCTCTCCCTATCACAAGAACCACCTTATAGAAACTAAACTGAAAAATTAGGTGGACAGTAAAATAGTGGGTGCGTCGAGGAGTTTGATTAGATTATGGTAGAAATCATTCTTTAACATGGAGACTTGTATCGTAAAGCAACACTATATCCTAATTACAGCTTCGATGAGAAAAGGGAATAAAAGGTGTGGTTTTGATAATATTTATCCACCCAACGATAAAGCTAGGAAGAAAGAACTGCAGGATGAACTAGTATAGGTGATCAAAGGAATGGACATTCTAAAGTGTTTAGGGGAGATTTTAATGTGAAGTATTTGGACAAAAAGGTGTGATGGACAAATAATTGGTGGATTTTTTATTAGTTTGTGCAATTCATCAATGAATTGGGGTTGATGGGTTTACCATGGTAGAAAGTACATATGAAGCACAATAAAGTGGAGGTTACTTTTAATAGACTTAACAGATTTCTTATGATACAAAGTTCATGGAAAGGAATCATGATTTGATTCAAAAGTGTATTTTGAACTCACTATTTGATCATAACCTAATTGTTTTCGGCAAATGAGAGGTTGATTAGGGTTTGATACTGTTGAGATTTTTTAACCATTGGCTTGATGGGAAAAGTTTCCAAAAGTTGATCAAGAAAGTATAAGAAGTATATAGGAGTAGGTGGGCCACAACAAGCAGGCATTTGGTAGAGATTAAGGTCCCTAAAACCAACAATAAAAAGTTGACAGCAAGAGACTTTTAGCGCTATCAAAGAAAAAGTGTCAAACTCAGAGGAGGAGCTCCAAGAGAAACTCATCATCTTCCAAGGTGGGAATGCGAATGCAACACTAAGCTAAAGGTTGTAAGAATGAAGACTGAAATTTGATCTTTGTACAGAGTAGAGGAAAGATCTTAGAAATGTAAGTCAAGAGTCAAATGGTTCTTTGAAGGGGATAGGTATACAAAATTTTTTCATGCGATGTCATCAGTAATAAGGCAAGGAAACTTTATTGAAAGAATTTCAATTCAAGGGAGAGTAATTGAAAATCCAATAGTACTTAAAGAAGGAGGTGGCCAAATACTTCGACCCTTTATAATCACAAGTCGGTGGCGAAGCTTGAAGAGCAATATATTGAGCTATTGGAAAAACCTTTCTTAGAAGTCAAGGTATGGGATGTGGTAGCAAGTTGCGATGATAACAAGGCACAAAGGCCAAACAATTTAAACATGAACTTCTTAAAAAAACCAATGGGTCGATAGAAAGGTGATGCTATGGCCATTTTTATGAGTTTTCTTATGCCATCAGGATTTGATAATTCTTGCTTCCTTCATTTTGTTTATCCCAAAATATGCTAGTCTAAGAGCTTTGAATGAATAAAGGTTAGTTAGTTTCATGAGCAATGTTTATAAGACTGTATCTTCTATCTAAGGTCCTAGCAAGTCGGCTAAAGAAAGAAATTGAGAAAGTAATAGGCCAGAACCATTTCGCCTTCACTAAAGGCAAACAGATTGTGGCTAACACTCTGATTGTTAATGAAACTATTGATCATCTTCGAAAGGATAATGAAGGTAAGATTTTTTTAAAGGTGGATTTTAAAATGGCTTACGACAGTAGATATTGAGACTTTTTCGATTTTGTTATGTATAAGATGAAGTTTGGCAATCAATGACGAAGGTGGATGAGGGCATGTATCTCTTTAGCCTCGATTTCAGTACTTGTCAAGAGCACACCTACTAGGCAACTCAAATTGAGAAGAGAGCTAAGACAAGGGTGCCCCTTGTCACCATTTCTGTTCATCCTAGTGGTGGAAGCCTTTTAGGACTTTAATGAACAAAGTTGTGGACATTGGGTTGTGCAAGAGTATCAACATTGGAAACAAGAAGTTTGTCGTCTTTCACCTTCGGTATGTGTTTCTACTAGCATTGCCCTCATGCTGCGTGAGTGTCTTTTGATTCTGCTTGCTGTTGTGGGCTTTTTGATGGTTTATGTGTAAGTTGAGTTGCTTCCTGAATGAAAATTAGAGGCCGTCGTTGTGGTAATTGAGCCTTCATGCTGCTAGGTGAATTATCGTTGTAAACAGTTGTAGTATTCCCATATGATGCTTGCTGTTATCCACGCACCATCAATTCAGAGGTGTTGTGCTGTTGATGTAATATTCATATGCCGCGTTTAGTGCATCACCTAACTTGGTGTATGCTAATTTTCTTACACATCAATGAAACTCTTATGCTATTCAAGAACAAAAAAAAAAAAAGACCCTTTTAACTATCTATGAATAAAACAGTAATTACTATAAATGTTTTGTTTTGTTAAATTAATATAATTTCATCAAATAATAAAATATATATAACATTCATCAAACAATAAAAAATTTGATATAACATAATTCTATCACACTAATTAAAAATATAAATTTATAAAAATACATTGACATGATAAATCGTATTTTGATTAATTTTATTTATAACGAAGGTGGTGAAAAGAGTCTATATATAATTAATCGATTTACAAGATTTTCTGGACAAATTACCAAGTTAATAATCTTTATAAAAGTCAATAGTTTAAGTTTTAGTATGTTATGAATAAATATATATATATATATAGTAGAATTTTATTAATAAATTGTTGACATTGAAAATCAAGTCAATAATTTGAATATTAGATGTTATAAAGTAAATAATAGGAAGGAGATACATTGTTTCTTCCCTGAATTTCGTCTCCGAATAGTAGCTAGCAGGGAAGATTGTCAAACCACTCCTCCTGTCTCCTCCCTAACCCAATCCTTGGAATCTTTCGGGATCACATCTAAAGATGGGGCTTGTGAACTGACTTGGAAACAAGAAAACAAGACAGTGGTGATGTGGAGACTGCTGATACTCACGTGGATTCTGAGGTATGCAAGAGTTGCAAGCTCCAAGGCGCAGAGCTCCAGTTGAGGTCACTTATGTAACAGAGTTGCCGTTAAATAAGTTACAAAGCATTATTGTTGTTGTTGTTGTTATTATTATTATTATTATTATTATTATTATTATTATTATTATTATTATTATTGAATTGAAAAAAAAATATTTAAATTTTATTTTTTAAATAAAAAATTATTTATTAATTAATAAATTAAATATTTCGATGTATTATTATTATTATTATTATTTGGAGTTAAGTTCAATTGATGCCTGAATTTTCCCCTGTCCTCTCTTCTCTGGTTAGGCATTCAATGTTGTTGGATTATTCTCATGGGCATGGGGCATGGGTCAGTCGTCCTTTTTCCTTTACTTATAGCCATTTTTCCTGAACAATCATACGAAGAAGGTACAATCAAACCATGTGAATATTATTCAATCAATTTTAGCCATGTTGATATTACGTACGTGCTCATATAGTACAGTAATGTGAGCAGGATTTTAGAGAGTATATCCAAATTTGAATTTGATTTTTTTTTTTTCTTCAGCGGTTTCAACCTCTTTTATCTCAATTGTAATTATTTTAAATCTTATATAATTGATAATTGTATTAAAATTTTATAATTAAATTCAATTACGGGAGTTTTTTATTGACGGCGTAACATATCAATCTGAATTCTTTTAATCACTTAGTACACATTATGCAAAAAAAAAATGTCTAATAAAATATATTAAAAATTATTTTTTAAAATCTAAAATTTTTTAATTATTATTTAATTAAAATAAAAATATAATTTCTTAAATTGATTGATATGCTCCACATGGCCATGGTAAATATTGTAAAACTTAAACACCGTTTTCAATGGTCTTAAATCTAGTTTTAATGAAAGTACAGGACAAGGACTAAATTAGAATAAAAAGATTAAATTGGGATCGTTGAAAGACTAAAATCAAACTACCATTATAAGACTAACAGTGACTAGAAGAGTCAGCCAGCCTCATCTTGCTCCCACAAGCCTTCTCTATTTTAAAGTTATTGATCCCATCACCCATTTAATTATTATTCTATATTTAAAATTAAGACTTAATAAAAAAAACTATACAACCTTTATTAATAAAATAAGTTAAATCGGGGTCAAACTGAGCTACACTATGCCTAAACCCTGCCAATGGACTATAGCGGGCCAAGCCCACCTGCATAGGAGTATACCTATTCAAATTGATATTCTTTTTTAATTTAAGTTTTGAATAATATTTCTTAATTATACAATGGAGAGACGAAGAGAGTCGTTTACAGTAATTCGATCTTTCAAATTTGCTTTCTATTAATAATTTGGATTATGAAATTGCATTCGATGCTACTATTAGGAATTGTGATGAAATCCCTTTGGTGCTAAAATTTGCTCCTCCTTATGCATGCATGTGTGTTAAGCGTATGCTAATTTTGAAATTAAAATTTTATAATTTTATTTTTCATTTTCAAATAAAAATTACAATCACAATAAGATAATTATATATATTTATATCACATAGTAACATCAATAAATTAACAAATCAAACAAAATCAATATACTGCATAATTGACACATAATAAGAGTTAATAAAATATAAAATATCAAATTCAAAACATGTAGCAGTATTAGTATGTATGCTTTGTAGTATAAACTTATGCAATCATAATTAGTGATGTACTTACTTTATTTTTGTGAATTTGAAAAGAAAAATATTAGAACCTGAATCACCTAAGAATGCCCAATATTGGTGTTGTGAATAGGAATACCACCACAGCCTTACATCTCAAGCCCCATGTTGGTTTTCTTCGTATGGGCTTAACAGAGAAATCATGTTAACAACATTTCAATTACTGTCTGTAAGTATCATCCTTGTACTGTTCCCTAACATCTCATCATCTTGACTTATTACTCTTTGAATTATTTCATTTCAATCTTTCCGTTACATTATTTTATTCATTCATGTTACATCATAAACATTACCTCTATTTTAACAAAAAACCAAACGCAAATAAAATACAATTTTGAAACGACAAAATCCAAATAAAACAATTAGACCAGAATGAAATCGAAATAGCACAGGTGAAATTATCCCACCATTTAATCATAAATTCAATCCAGCAAGCTGGCATAATGCATGAATGCATGAATTCACAAGCAGCACATAAAAGTAAAAGACTTTGAAGAAACTCATGAAACCACAATCCTATAAAGAAAAACAAAACTTCAGAACAAGTACTGAATATCTCATGACAAACCCATACAAGCAAAAAGTTGAAGATACCGTCCTCTTACCAACATAAAAAGAACCTCATTTACTACACCCTAAGCATTAAAGTGTCCTCTTAATGATATCTCTCTTTCATCTCTGCATCATACATCCACCCTCTCCACATCTTCAAGTACAAGGGGCTTCACTGCCTTTCCCAACAGATCAGTGTACTCCTGGAATGGAGACCTTGTGAAACGAGTCTCTTTCCAGAAATCAGGAGTCAAGAATCCGTATGTTTTCAGAAGACACTCAAAGGTAGCCTGCATTTACATTTGCAATAATAAAACAATAATCAGATATCAACACTAACTGAATAACCATCTCTAAAAATCATACAAGCAAATAAATCAGCTATCTAGCATGAAAGCACACTAATTTACCAATAACCAATAACAACTATTTTCAGGCATTAGTACGCGACAATATGCAATAATATCATAGGGATAGCACAAAAAAAAAATCCACAAATTCAACACCAACTACATAGTTGCCCTGTCACCCAAAGAGTATAAAATCTACAAGCATATGTTTAGGTGAGTTCTTAACAAACACATAACACAGTTTGCATCAAGCCAAAACACTAAGCAAACATAATAAAAGCATAAATCACCAAACCGTAAAGCATCCCAAGTTTATTAGTGTGGTTGGAAATATTAGCCTAGCATTGTTGTCAAGGATGGAATAATGGCTAATCCAAAAAACCAAAACCACCATCACAGAACATCAATTGTGTCCATGTGGACAAGTAGTGTTATCCACATCAAAACCATACCTTCCACTGGCTATAATTCATAAACTATATTATTTTTAAACTAAAAATATAAGAATGATATACTACTTAAAGAATTAAAATCCAGCTAATAACATCTTACCTACTAAATTAATTTACTACCCTCAAAAATACCTTTGATAAAACCCAAGAAAAAAGAATCATAAATTCAATTACTCCAACCGGATCAATAAGAGGCAAATTGAAGCCAAGAGTAGCACAGTCAAACAATATTTATACAGAATAAAAATATACTTTCATCAAACCAGTACTAAAAACCAATATCATGATACTAAAATGTATACATAAAATCATGAATAAGTAAAATTCAAAACATGAGAAGAACCATAATGCATCGGTAACCACTTAATAGAAATCACAATTTCTATCCACTTGATTCCTCTTCATTCATGTTAACAGCTCAGATCAACAATCTATTTCAAACAAATCAACTATGCTTCAATAAATCACATCAAACAAGCAAAGAGCAAACAATCCCAAAGTTTGGAAACTAAAACATTAACATACTTATTAAACAACCAGTTTCCAAATAGATCTAAGCAAATCCGCAACCAGTCTTAAATAACAAAACCCAACAAATAATTCTAACGAACAGTAAATACCTTGACAAAGTTACCAAGAGTCTTAGTAGAACCCCTAGAGGAAGTAAAAACATCTTCAATACCAGCAAACTGAAGCACCTTCTTGGGCACCCTAGCAGCCACAATCCCCGCACCTCTAGGAGCCGGGACCATCCTAACAGTAACGGACCCACATTTCCCAGTAACCTTGCACGGTACCGTGTGAGGTTTCCCGATCTTATTACCCCAATAGCCTCTCCTCACCGGTATCACAGACAACTTAGCTAATATAATAGCCCCTCTTATAGCCGTAGCCACTTCTTTGCTACACTTCACTCCCAATCCCACGTGTCCATTTCCATCGCCAACGACGACGAAGGCCTTGAAGCGCGTGCGCTGGCCGGCCCTTGTCTGTTTCTGGACCGGAGTGATCTTCATGACCTCGTCTTTCAGCGAGGGGCCAACCAGCTGGTCGACGATTTGGTACTCTTTGATGGGGAGAGAGTGGAGGTATATTTGTTCGAGAGATGTAATTTTTCCGGCTTTGACTAAACGGCCGAGCTTTGTAACCGGCACCCACTTCTCTTCTTCGTCTTTGCGGCCGCGGCGTCTGCCTCTTGGGCCACGGTCGGATCTGCCGCCGAATCCACGCCTGAAAGCGCCGCGTTCTCCTCCGCCTCTCTCTGCCATATTGTTTGGGGCGTAAAAGAGAAAGGGCTTTTGGGTTAGAGATGAGATGAGAGAATGGGAGTGGCGAGGGCTAGGGTTTTATATGTTCGAGGGGAAGTTTAGGGTTTCTTTTGTGGGGGAAGGGTCAAGGATTGGATATTTCCAAATGGGCTTTTAAGTTAAACCCACTGCCTCTTAAGACTAACCTTACTACTATCACGGAGGCTCTTTGCATGGGAGCCCAAATTGACTTTTGACCTCATATCACTGCCATTTACCAAGTACCAAGGGATCCAAACTATAACCCAAAACCCTTGCAAATGGACTTTACCTGCCTTCTTCTACTTTGGCTTAATGGGCCAAGCTGCCCAGGACTTAGCTTCTGAAAATAATATTTCTTTTAAAGCAAAAGTTTTCTAAGAAAATATGAAATAATAAAAGGAGCAAAACATTTTAATGTGAAACTCATTTTATGTTTTCCTTGCTTCTTTCTTTTTCTAAATCTCTTTTATTCACTATCATTTTTTTTCTCTCAACAGAACATTATTGACTATTTTCTTTCAATTCTTTGGAATACTATAAAATCATAAGAGTAAATTAGATAATAATTTAAAGTATTATCTTCTATTGTATAATAAAAAAATTATATGCATCAAATAATAATTTAAAATAAGTAATTTTATGAAATTATGGCAAAAATATCATTTACTCGAATATTTTTTATTTATTTATATTAAATTAATACATTTTGTGGGATATGTAAAATTTTAAAGTTAACATTGGAGTATTTGATTTAATAAATTAATAAAATACTAATTAAGCTATTTTAGCATTGCAAATGGTGAATGTGTAATATTAGCATATAAACCCATGCTTTTTTCTTGTGATATTTTTACTTAACTCTTTTTTTTTTTAAATTGTCGATGCACCATACCATATAGCATAGCCTATACACAATTCTTCCCATCTATAAACCTAACCCCGCAAAACCCTAACTTTCAATCCGACTCCCGCATATAAAGCCCTAACCTTAGCCGCTCTTCTTTTCTACTCCCTTCTCCGTCAGGAAGACTCCCTCTCACTGGTACTCTCTCCATTTCTCAAACCCTAACAAAAAATGGCAGAAAGAGGCGGAGGAGAACGCGGCGCCTTCAGGCGTGGCTTCGGCGGCAGATCCGACCGTGGTCCTAGAGGCAGGCGCCGCGGCCGCAAGGACGAAGAAGAGAAATGGGTACCCGTGACAAAACTCGGCCGTTTAGTCAAAGCAGGCAAAATCACATCCCTGGAGCAAATCTACCTCCACTCTCTCCCCATCAAAGAGTACCAAATCGTCGACCAACTCGTTGGCCCTTCCCTAAAAGACGAGGTCATGAAGATCACTCCTGTCCAGAAACAAACACGTGCCGGTCAGCGCACGCGTTTTAAGGCTTTCGTCGTTGTTGGCGATGGAAATGGACACGTGGGATTGGGAGTGAAGTGTAGCAAAGAAGTTGCGACGGCTATAAGAGGGGCTATTATATTAGCTAAGTTGTCTGTGATACCGGTGAGGAGAGGCTATTGGGGTAATAAGATCGGGAAACCTCACACAGTACCGTGCAAGGTTACTGGGAAATGTGGGTCCGTTACTGTTAGGATGGTCCCGGCTCCCAGAGGTGCGGGGATTGTGGCTGCTAGGGTGCCCAAGAAGGTGCTTCAGTTTGCTGGGATTGAGGATGTTTTTACTTCATCCAGGGGTTCGACTAAGACTCTTGGTAACTTTGTCAAGGTATTGGCTTTTTTTAATAGAAATTTTTACTCGTTTGGTTTTGTTGCTATATAAGATTGGCTTTGGATTTGTTTAGCTCCATTTGGAAATGGATGGTTACTTGCGCAGGTAATTTTTTTTTTTTACTTTCCTAATCCTTCTATGTTTTTTTTTGTGAAAAGCCTAATCCTTCTATGTTGATCATTGAAATGATGATTTTTTGTTAAGTATTAGGTTTGTTTGCTTTTTTTAATGAGTTATTGTATGCTTGAAGTTATTTGCATTACACTTGGGATGTAGGCTATTGACATGTAGCTGGATGTGCTTCATTATTTGGATATAAATCTTGTTGATTGTGCTGATGAATTCCCGGATACTGTTACGTTCCTTTTAAATTTGGGAAATGGATTATTGATAAGTAGTTGGGTGTTTTGTGGGTGTCGTTTTTTCCATGACATTTTGATACTGATTTAATAGAAGCATATTTCATGATTAATTATTATGCTTCAGTTGTGGTGTTATTGTCTTGAATTTGCCTCCCTGTGATTGTAATGAATTGCTTAAGGCTTCTTTTGGTATGACAGAAATCCGTAATTGATGTATTGGGAATTTTGTGGATCTTGTGTGACTTGAATATTTTAATTCTGGAAGACTTTTGTTTCTCTGGTGGTATAAATGTTCAATAATTGTTTTTGTATGTGGACATGGATACATGTCAATGTTTGTAAAAAATGACCTTTTGTCCTGAATTTAGCTTTCTGTGATTCTAATGGAGTTGTGTTGAAGGTATTACAATGTATTCTACTTGTGTCATGATCAAAGTTGATGGTTTTAGATGTATTTCAGTTTTTCTGTTTTAATTAATATTGCCACCTTGATTTCAATGACAACCAATATTCTCTACCACCTATCTGTTAAATCTGGGATGTTTGACATTTTCATGCTATATGCTGCCTATATCTTTGTCTAGTGTTTTGACTGGGTGAAGATGTACTTGTAGATTTTGTATTCGTTGGTGACATGCCACCTCTGTATTTGATGGAAGTGTGGGTTTTTTTTTTATATATGTTTGTGACTATTACGTATTGTGCCAACCTCTTATTCTTGAAATCATTTGTTCTTGATTATTGAAAAATTAACATGCTTTTGTGTTAGAGCTGTTTATTTGCTGTATGATTTGTTTTAAAGGAGCAATTCCTTATAGCTGATCATCTTTTGCTCTTGGAAATGTCAATTGCAGGCCACCTTTGAGTGTCTTCTGAAAACTTATGGTTTCTTGACACCTGATTTCTGGAAAGAGACACGCTTCACAAGGTCTCCTTTCCAGGAGTATACAGATCTGTTGGGAAAGCCTGTGAAGCCTCTTGTACTTGAAGATGCAGAGAGGGTGGATGTATGATGGTGATATGAGTTATTGATAAGTCATGGCTTTAGTGCCTAGGATAGTAATATGAAGTTCTTTTTGTCCGCTATGACAATTGCAATGATTACTGTTTTGCTTATTTGGTTGTCATCAGAAATTCAGTACTTGTTCAGCAACTTAAGTTTTGTTTTGCTTCAATCTGGATTCTGTATAAGCTTATGGTTACATGAGTTTTAAAGTTTTTATTCTTATGTGTTGGCTTGTGCATTTGTGCATTATACTAGCGAGGAATTTGTCATGAGATCAATTAATCAAGAAATAGATAAGATTGTTGATCTTAAAGATTAGAACAAAAATGAAAGAAAAGAAGCCCAATCTTGTGGGGCATGCAGGCGTTAGACCTGTGGTTGCCTAACTGCATGCCAGTTGCGTATGGTGCTTATGTTCATTGATGTAGGGCTGAGATGTTCAGTAGCTCCCTAAGGAAATTTTTACTTAACAGGGTATCTGAAGAATAAAAGAAATTGACGCATGGTTTTGGTTTAGTTTGATGTTTTAGAGGCTTACATTAGGTGAAAGACTTCGCTGCTCTATCACCATCTGTTTCGCTTGTCACCCTTGTTGATTCAAGTTATAGGGTGCTATTTTTAACTATATAGCGTATATTCTTGGATATATGCGTATTTTGTTTTGTTTAAAGTTACAATTTAACGTTTTCTCAAAATTTGCTATGAAACCTGTAGAGGAACCGGAACGTTCAATCAAACTCGTGCGAGCTTCACAATTTGTCACTGAGGGTAAGACAAAATCAACAAAAGCAATAGAGGCTTGGGCATCCACTACAACGCAAGAGTTGGCTTAAACACAGCCTTTGGCCAAGATAAACCCACACGTGGCAACGACCCATTCGTCCCAGCATTTCTCCGGATAAGGAAATGGATGATGGGTTACTAACAGCATGCCCTTCTCATGCCATTTCCACGTCTAACCAATAATAATAATCAATTCCAGCTTTCTGAATCAATTGTGAAACAGAAACTTGCAGAAAATAGCAGAGTACCCCTGCTGCAGACATGGCTTCAATGAGCATGACAGCTTCTCTCCTGCCGAGCTCCAGCTCAACTTTGACCAGACTTCCTTCGACAACTGCCCGCAGAGGGGTGATTGTGGCTAAGGCCTCAGGAGCTGCTGAAGGAGAGAAGGGGAGCATGGAACTGAAGCAAGAGAGCAACAATGGGAGGAGGGAGCTGGTTTTTGCAGCCGCAGCTGCTGCTGCTTGCTCCATTGCAAACGTTGCCATGGGTGCGGGAGAGCCAAAGGCTGGGACACCAGAAGCTAAGAAAAAGTATGCTCCTATTTGTGTGACGATGCCTACAGCTCGTGTGTGTCACAAGTGAGCATCTGATGTTTTTCTAAGATTTAATGTTGATTTTAATTGAGATTCATGTAAAAGCTTGCATCTTTTTATTGGAGAATCCTTGTTATGTTTCTCTTCTTCTCCTTGTACACATGTTCACCAGTTAGTCATGAGTCTAATCTATATAATATATAATATTTCTAGCTTAAACTTCAACTACATTGGGTTGGAATTAATATGTCAAAGAATGTGAAGAACCATCAATCCGAGCCCATACTTAGAGATCGGGAAGAAACTCTAGCTCCAGGTTAAGATTTAATTAGTAATAATTTACAAAGTCAATGATTTGGAATTCGGAAATGTGGTCAATCACTGCCAAATGAAAATAGAGGCAGCCATGCATGTAGTATTGGGACATTTGTTTATATTATTTGGATTTAGGATAACCTTGATGACTACTCTTAAACCTTAATCACTGCTGTGGGCACAACAATCCAAATATGAGCAACCCACTTCCTCAAAACTACTGTCTGCTTCTTTGTGGGGTTTCTTAATTGAAACAGACTTCAGTTTTGGTAATAATTTGCTTCTTTTTTATTTATTTTTGATGATAGTAACGCGTGAGTTTCTTGGTAACTTTATGAACAAGTTATGATACTTTCGCCCCTCAAGTAGGCTATTTTAGTAACTATAACCATTCAGTCAACGACGTTACCAACATTGGGTCCTTGAATGTAAATTACAAGCAAATCTCGAGGACTTATGTGGAAATTTCAGTCAAATAAATTTTAATATTTATAATTCATGAGACTGACTTCAAAGGCGTCTCGATTCTCTAAAACCAATTGATAATCCATTGGCGAGGTTTAGACCATCAAATCTCAATAACAAATATCTATAACTAGAATACTGGGGATTATAATTTTTATTAAAGTAAATAGGATGAACACTACATTACCTAACAACTCAACACAATAGGAGAGAATAGAGAACCCAGATCCTGTATAAAGCTGAAACAATTGCAAAACTTGAAACCAAAATGATTTCAAAAAACCAAAACTCTATCCATTCCAGATGTTACCGAATTGTAATAAATCCAGAAGAGACACCTACAATTTGTTCAGTAGGCAATGCAGCAGCAGCAGCAGCAATATCTCAAATGACTCATTCACTTTTCCCATTTTGCTGGGCAGCAACAAAATTGCGAATGACTTCTATTGCTAGCTGATGAGCACTCTTGCTCTGCAGCTTTGCAAGCTCGTCCATGGCTTCATATGTCTCCTTATCAGCAAAAAGCTTCAGGTTATACCTTGCTGGTGCTTTCTCTGGACCTTCCCATTTGTCCACCAGCTCTTGAAGTTTTTCAAATCCCTAGAGACAAATCAACATCCTCATCAGTTGCTGGACCATGAGTTCAATTCCTCATAAAAGATTTTTTCAGAGGAATGCAGATAAAAATTTAGATACTACTAGATTATTTCCCCACTACTGCCCAAAGAGAATAAGAATGGAAACATGCTAGTTGTTCGAGTACTTACCATGCGGGTTGTGAAGTCGCCAAATGATTCTTTGGGTTGTCTTTTTCGTTTCCAGTAGTAGAACAAAGGTTCAAAAACTTTTTCAAGGTCCTGAACCTTGACTTTATTCATAAAACTTCTCGCTAATTGGGTTTGATTGGGTGTCCCTCCGAGCCAAATCTATTTTTAACATGAAAGCAGAATCACCACGTTATCCTACTAAATCGTTAAGATAAAAAGGTATCAAAGCGAATGACTGAACTACCTGATAGCTGTTGGGACCATCACCAACCAGTCCAAGCTCAGCCATGTATGGTCTAGCACAACCATTGGGGCAGCCAGTTATTCTTACCACTACAGATTCATTGTACTTGAGACCAACCTGAAATTAGGCAGTCCTTATCTGTTTATTAGCGTTCCAAACCCTATTTAAATGAATTCAGCTAATAGATATGTAGGAGAATTTGCACAATTGACCAGACTACAAAAATTCACACACAGAAGTGACAGTAAAAATTTGAAAATAAAATAAAGGCCGTGCACAGTACATCATCAAAACCATCATGAAGAAGTTATATTTCAACTTGCAAAGGAGGTGAGAATTTAGCCGACTGTCATGCTAATGTAGGTGTTAGACCAGTCTTGTTGGTGGATAAGGGCCCATATATGTGGTAAACATACCTTCTCAAAGACAGCTCGGACCCGCTTGAGGATGTCAGGTATGCCACGTTCAGCTTCAGTTATTGCCAATGGGCAAAGTGGGAAAGCTGGGCATGCCATAGCAGTCAAGTTCAGGGGATCCACATATCTAGGATGCTGTTCACAGCAAGAACTAGTCAGCTGTTCATCTAATTTAAAGTAAAATATAACATAATAAAAGAGAGTAAGGTAAGCAAATTCTGGGATGAAGATTGAGAAGCAAAGGAAACACTTCTTAACTAACCTTATAACATTATGACAAATCAAGGAAAATATAAAAATAAAAAAGGAAAAACAACCTAAATATTAATTCCAAAGTGCAAACTACATCGATAGCAAGTTCCTGAAAAAGTTATTAACAGACTACAAAGCCATCATTCCATGGTTTAACTAGGTGAATCCCGTGTTTCACACAAAATGAGAATTTCTTGAGCAATTGATATAATTAGGCAACCTGAACAGACATCTTAAATATTAGGATTTTGTTTGATAAATCCAATCCTGCATTGTGGTTTTGTAACTAAAGTTTAGAGATAATAATGAATAATGTCCTTTTAGCTTTACTTTTGAGGGTTAAAGTGATCTTACTCTTACATGCACCTAATTGTTTAGCAATGATTTAGCAATAAGCTACTGATCATATAAGAACGTTATCCTTAGGTCAAACAAATATGTTCAACACATTATAACTAACTGATAGCAGGCACTCACAAGATGCTAATATTCCCATATTTACTTAGAAATTTAAGCTGTCATCGCACTCTTACTATGGCTATGACTTCTACTCAGCCAGCATCCTACTTGATCCACCTTTAAGTTTCTTAACTTGAAAGGGAAAAAGAAACTGAAAAATATACAAACTGCAGATTCATAATTTCTGTCCAATCTTTTTGGTGGTATTCTATACAATCCAGTGGCATAACTGGTTCTAGTGATTCCATATAATCCGACCAACTTGTCTAGCTACTAACATGCCACAAAATAATGTAATTTTCAAGTACACTACCCATGCCAGTAACTAATTCTTAAAATAATCTGAATCATATGTCATATTGGCAACCACCCTTAACAAAATAGGTAGGGTAGATATTCTTAACAATTTGATTAAGATGCTCAACGCTAAAACTTTTGCAGACATGGTAGACATCAGGTTCAGAAAAGATATGTAATTACAGCAAGACACGAATATCTTACCAGCAGGCCAGCCTGAGCAAGAACTGTAGTAATTGGACGCCTCCATGCACGACAAATGTCACACAAAATAATGTTTTGGTTTGGGGTTATTCGGACATTTAAATTATACTTCTCTATTACTTCCCTCAATGTCTTCTTCATTTTACCTCCAACACGACCATTATCTACATGGAGCCCGCAAAATAAAGCACCATCACCCTGCCAAAATTCTTAACCAGTCAGAAAAGTGACCAAGAAGGTCGAACTGGATTATAGGCTAAGGATCATGTCTGAGTTGAAAACAATCTGATCCAAGCATAAAATCCCAAGATTACAAGAAAATGACTAATTAGACAATTCGAGAGTTAACAACCATGGGCTCAAACCAAAGACAATATACATGATATCTCCAAATTAAAAACACAAACCTGCTCATGCCATCCCAAGTAACTCTTAAATTCCCACTCAGGCAACTCAAGGAAAGGCTCAAATTTCTTTCCATAATATTGCTCAACAACACTTCTAAACTTTTCAATCCCCCAGGAGCTGATCAAATATTTCATTCTACTATATTTACGGTCATCTCTTCTGCCATGATCTCGTTGTGTAGCAACAATGGCTTTAATAGCATACAAAATGTCCTCCTTTGGCACATAACCCAGTGGTTCTGCCAATCGTGGGAAAGTGGCCTCCAGCCTGTGTGTTCTTCCCATGCCACCACCAACCTGCACCAGCAATTACAATAAATAGATGCTTTTAAGTATAAAAGTATGTAAGAAAAAGGGCAAAAGATATATTTCTTCAGTCATGTGGTAGTCTTACATATATGTTGAAACCCTGAGGCTCCCCATTTTCATCAGAAACTACCACAACCCCAATATCATTTGTGAGAATATCCACCGAGTTATCAGTTGGCACAGTAACAGCAATCTTAAACTTCCTCGGCAAGAACTGAGTTCCATATATTGGCTCAGGTGAATCAGGGAAATTCGTTCCATGAGAATTATCATTCCTGGCCTTCACTACTTCTGGAGGTTCAGATGTCAAGAATCTCTCCCCATCAACCCACACATCATAATAAAAGCCCGACTGAGGAGTTAACAGCGCCGCAATGTTGTCAGCAGTTTCCTGTGCAAACAGGTACCCTTTGGTCAAGAAAGGGGCAGCAGGAGCAAGCACGTTCCTATTGAGATCCCCACACGCACCAAGAGTCGAACCCATGTTTTTAATAATCGTGCTCATTACGGTCTTGAGGTTCTTCTTCAAAACACCATGGAGCTGAAACGTTTGTCTTGTTGTCAAACGAAGTGTTCCGATACCAAACTGGTCAGCAAGATCATCCATGGTCAAGTAGAGTTGGTTCGGGACTTTCCCACCAGGGTTTTTAGTTCGAAGCATGAATGAATAAGACCTTGTACCGCGCTCATCTCTATTATACTGTTGATAACTTCCATGGAACTTAATTAATTGTGTTGCAGCCTCGTTGATATTGGGTGTATCCGTCAATATCTCCTCATTAAGAGGGTATCTAATGAAATTGCTTTGTTCTTTGAATATTTCAACTTTACTTCGCTTTGTCTCTGTCGTAGTAGTCTCAGGCTTCACTGGCTGCAAAGGGTTTCAACAAGTTACTTGAAAGAAACAATTTAAACAAAAATTTTGGCATTTTAGGTTAGAAAAGACAAAAAATACTAAAATTATTTCAGCATAAATATATACATTAACCGAATCTCATTTCACTGAGGAAAACATGCATCATTTTTTTTCTTTTTTCTTTAAGACGGAAAATATGATACGCATTCAAATAATTAAAATTGAAAGAGAAAGAAAAAGGAAAAAAAAAGTCTCAATTGATCATTTGAAGCTAGAATCTGGAGAGAGAATAAAGCCATAAACAATGGAATGTAATTTCTGATTTTTTTTAGAAAAAAAGGAATCTTTTTTATTAAGAAAAAGCTGAGAGAAAAGAAAGTGAAAACGCATATAAGTCACGCAAAGTTTAAAAATTTCTAACACTTTCTTATCTCCCAAACAACAATAAACATTCAAAATGAAATTAAAAAACTTTCTGAAAAGAGAGGGGAAAAGTAAAACCGACCGTGGATACAGCTCTAATAAGAGAAGGACTGGAGAATTGAGCCGGAAACACGCGAAGATTCCTCGTCAAAGCGAGCGAATGCGAAGACTTCAACCCTCTAAAGCTCTGCACTCGAATCTTCGGATCGTTCGATATCACGGAACTCGCGGCAGTTCCAAACGACGTCGCCATGGCTTCAAACGAAAGCCAAATACTAACCTCTCTTTTTTTCAACTAGGGTTTTTCAACCTTCTTTTTGAACGCAGGACTAGAACAAGGCAGGGGTGGAGCGACAGCGAAGAAGAAAGCAGAGCGTTTGATGGAGAAATGGATTTTATTTGTGTGAAGTGTGATGAACAGCAGAAAATTAAAAAAAAAAAAAAAAGAGAGAGAGAAGAGAGTGTGTGCTAACCGGCGCTATTTTGGCTAAGGTGCGCCATCACGTGCCTGACACGGGACCTTTTTTTGCGGGAACCTGGACTTTAATAACAGGCCCACGCGCAATTTTCCACGGGACATCATGTTGTGGATAGTTGGCATTGGTTAAATTAAGTTAAAATTAAAATTAAAATTTTTAATATTTCTTAATAATATATAAATTAAAAAATACTACGAACCATTATTACTATCTTAACCATGAATTAAATACTAACATGATCTTTTTATTAAAAATTTTATTTGAGTTTTAAAAGTAATTTTCAGTTTAAATCCAACAAATTCTTTTTTTTATTTGAATTAATATAAAAGAGTTTATTTTGAGTAGTTGTATTATATTTTTTTTATCCAAATTTGAGTATAAGAAATATAGTCTTAAGCTTCAGGTTGGAATACATTAGATTGAATACGTACACAAGAAATAACGCGTAACGAAAATGGCATAAGAAAGCGCGTGAAGAGTAGTGGACAAAGATACGAAAGTAAATTTGGATTGTTGTCGTACATTGAACTTGGACGGAATTACGTTTACCCATTGCAAGGTTGGTAACAGGGAATGGCTGCGGAGGGGATGTAAAAAATGGGTAACAAAAGTTGGACGGCTATGTTGGGAAAGTCAAGTTGCCTTTATTATGGCAATTGTTTATTGGGCAGCAGAAAGAAAGGCCCATATAGAAATTTGCGTTGCTGACCTGACCGCATAAAACCAATCAACCTCTGACCGTTGATGGCGAGCAAGGTCTTTTCCGGAACTCCCTCCGTCAACAGATTTGGACCCATTTTACGCTGCTACCGTTCTTTTATGATTCATGCTCTAATTGCTTTAGATTAATATTTTAGGAAGGTTTCCACGACATGGATCACGTCATAAAGAAACAATTTACGTATTGAATTTTTGCATGGAAGTTTTTCTTCGTCTTAATCACATTTTTTTAATTAAAAATTTAAGTTCATAATAAATTATATTAGAATCAAACTTAGCTCTTTATTGAAATGTAATTGTTTATGTAAGATATCAAGATCGAGATAATTCGATTGAGATGGATCCTTTTTATTTATGAGTGAAGAAGTAAATATAATGAAAATGTTATATAATTGGGTGAAGAAGAATATTATAGATTTTAGGTTAAAAAAATTGAGATGTGTCTTAAATTTATAAATAAGACTTTTTTTTTACTAATTAAATATATTTTTTAATTAAAAATATGAGATTTTGACATGTAATCCTAACCACTTATCCATTTACTCCCATCAAATAATTAAACTTTAGGATCAAGTTTTGGATTGATTATAAATTGATGATAATTTGAAAATTATAGAATTGGAACTCATAAAAAGTATTTTTTTTAAAAAAATGTAAACATTAAGCCAAAGAGTTTGCTTCAAAAAAAATACAGTACGTTACTTAAATAGTTTATATCTAATACAAATAATAAAATATCAACGGTATTAAAACAAAATTTTACTTAAAAATAATAAAACATAACAATAAATGAACAAATTAATGATAATATAAATTGTAATCAGAAGTGGACGCATATGTTACATGTAAAAGTATTGTATTCATGATCTAAGGTCAAGCTCAAGCTCGACCTGCTCATTGAAATTAAATTTATTCCATAGGACATGATAAAATAAATAAGTTTAAAGAGTACAAAATAGATATACTAAATAAATGTAGAAAGAATTTATACAGTACAAACATTCCTGGCTAATAATCTATGGCCTCCGTTTCATTAAAAATATAAAAAGAATTTGATACCATAAATACTATATGAATATTAAATCTTAATCAATTCTTTAATGACACTTAAATATTAAAAAAATTAAGTTTATTTGTAATATAATTAACAACACCGTAATCAAGAATGATAATAGTTTTGTAATATCCGGTAAACAAATGAAAAAATAATAAAACAAGTGAAACTAGAAAAAATTTAAAACGTGATTTCACTATTTTTAAAGATAATTTTCGTTCTTATGAAGTACGAAATTTGGTGTAAAAGAACTATAGCGGTTATCCTTCAAGATTCAACAAATTCTTCTTAATTAGTTTGACAAATTAGCAAGATACTAGGAACAAGAGAAAAATTAATAATAAGAAAGAACCCATCAAATTAAGGAAGTAAGGGAAGTAGAGAAAAGGATGACAAGAAAGCTAAGCAGAGAAAATGTGAGAATTAAGGTGTGTTGAGAATGAATGTGAATATTGGTATTTATAGAGTAGGAGCGATGAGAGAATCAAGATAAAATATTTTATAATATTATAAAAATAAAGTTATAAAATATTTTGAAAGATTAGTTAAAATGAACGTTACAAAATATTCTAAAAGACCAATAAAACTACTAAGGTACAAAATATCTCTTGAGCTTAGCCCACATGCACACTTGTGCACGGGGGGAAATCCACACTTTCTCAAGGTTTGGTCCAATTTCGTGTACATGCGAGACTAATTTCTTTTTTTGCTTATAACAAGCTCATAATGGGTTTACTTATATAAAAGACTTAATATTTTTGGTACTTAGGCAATGTGAGATTGAAGCCTTATAAAATATCACTATTTTTCTAACAATTTCTCACATATTTCATTAGGTTTCATGATAGTAAGTTTTGACTGGGTCTTAATCTCACTCGAGTGTAATGCATCAAGATTGGTGTTTTTTGAGCTATAAACCAGGCCTAGAAAGAATAGAACATAAATCACAGAATTTTAATAAAATTTATAATTTATATGAATTAAAATTCTTTACATGAAATATGATTTTCATCAAACAATTACACCTCCACAATTTCTGCTATTCAATGCAGTTTTGCATGAATAAGCTATATGCATGCCTGGTTATTCATAAGTACTTTAGAGAATTTGCTACAATTCTCATAAGAACAGCCCCACTCCACATTTATATAGAGTGATTCCATCAAGTGTATATTATATTTTAATACATTACCCATAAGGGATATGAAATTCATTAAGAGTTTAACTGAACCTCTCTTGTATTGCAGTTTTACACTATTCACACACTATGAGAGAGACAATAATTTTAATAGTATATTAATTTATCAACAAATAGCTTGAATTTATCCATGTGAACCTAATTCATGGGATCTCCATTCACATAGATTAAGTTACCATTATTTATTGATTTTCTCAATTAACTTAAGTCTTATTTGCCTCAATATATCATTAATTAATTTTCTTGTTAGGGATTTAGTCAAAGGATTGGCCAAATTCAGCTTTGACTTCACATAATTAATGAACAAAATTCTATCTCAAAGTAGCTGCTTTACTTACATCATGTCTCAAATGAATGTGTTTATTTTTACCATTGAAAGTTTTATTCTTTACAATGGCTATTGGCGCTTGGTAATCATAATGCATAGACACAGAAGGTGTTGGTTTCATTTCCAATGAAATATCAGTTACGAGGTTTCTTAATCACTCAGCCTCATTGTCAGCCAACTGTAAAGCAACAAATTCTAATTCTATGGTAGATTTACCTATTATTGTTTGTTTATTTGATTTCCAAATAATAACACCTCCACCAAGGATGAATACATAACTACGTGTGGATTTTATCTCATTTGAATCTGAGATCTTGTGAACATCATTATACCCTTCTAATACAGTGAGAAATTCATTATATAAAATACTATTGTTTATGGTATCTCTCAAAAATTTCATTACTCTGCCCAAGGCAGTCTAAAGATCTCAATTGGGACTTTATGTATATCTGTTCAGTCTACACATTACATAAACTATATCAAGTCAAGTATAATTTATCAAATGCATCAGATTCCTAATAATATAAGTATACACAGGCTAAACCACGTTATCACCGCTAATTTTCTTTAATTGGGTATTACCATCATAAGAAGTACTCATAGGTGTAACATTGATAATACCCAAATTTAGCCTCTCAACATAATACTCTTGTGTTAGTATTAAGCCACTATCATATCTTATGATCTTAGGATCCAAAATAATATTGGTTTCTCCTAAATCTTTTATATCAAAACCAAACGTAAAACAATATCATACATAACCATAATCCATCATATATCATATCATATCTAGAGGAATATATAAACATATATTCAATTTATGGATTACATGACCAGCACTATGATTCCACCATCCAAGATCCACATATCATTCTTACCTAGCTAGTTTTACCATTACAATGTTGCATCCAATCTTAAGTGACATGGTCATATCTTATTTTCCTTTGACTTCATGCATGCTCATAACCTCAAAATCAGTTAATAATCCATACTTACAAGGACATATTTATTCTAATTAATCATTCACAATTTTCAACCAATTCGACTTACATGCCATACTTTACTAGATATTAGTCACTAGACCTGTCAAAATGGGGTCGGCTCATTTTTTATTAAATATGAGGTGAGTTGGGTTGAAAATTTTTTGCCCATATTTGAACCGGGCCTAAATGGGCCAGCCCCATTGCGTCAAAAAATAATTTTTATTAATTTAATAATTTATATATTTAATTATGAAAAATCAATAATTTAGTTACCAATTGTATTGTTTTTTATATATTTCAATGTCTTTAATCTTCACTTGTCAAATTAAAAATTTTAATTTAAATTAAAACTTATTATCTCTTTTTCTTTTATGGTAATGAATATTAGATGATAAATTGATAATAATTCAAACCTTGAGACATCATTGCTGTCTAAACAAGATTTAAATGTTTTACTTGAGAATGAAGATTGAGGAGGATATAAATGAGTCTTGAAATTTTTATTATTTGGTTATATACTTATGTTTATGAGATAGTAGTTTGTGTTAAGGATTTAAATTTTATTATGTAATTTATTTATTTTTTTATATTTGGTGTAATTTAATTATTGGTAACATGTTTTTATTATTCAATTTATGAATTAAATCATAGAACAATTTTATTAATAAAAAAATTATCAAGTAAAATTATAAAAATTAAATTAATTTTTTTTAAAAAAAATAAAAATGGACTGACCCAACCCAACTCATGAGCTAACAAGGGGTGGGTTGGGTTGAGGTTTTAATGGTCCATATACAAAATGAGTTGGCCCGGCCCAACCCATATTTTTTTAGCCCACAAGGGTTGGGGCCGGGCTGAATCGGGCCAGCCCATATTGACAGCTCTACTAGTCACCATTATCAAACATAACCAAATTATCAATTTCAAGCATGTTCACGATCATATTTTCAGCCATACATCAATATATTTAACATCACATTTCAATCATAATGACTCATCAAACAAGGCTTATTTTTTTTTTTTAAAATTGACACTTGTTTCCATGCAATTACATACTAATATAATAGTTAAGTATATAAATATAATAAACATAACATTTGAAGCATATTTTTAATCTATACACAATCCACACATAAAGAATTCACATACGGATCAGCATAGAACACTCAACAATTGCATATTTTCGAAATCACATTTCATGCATTTACTAAAACATGCAAGTTAAAATCAAAATTTCATGTTGACAACCACAAGAGAAATATTGAGTCCAAAGAAAAAAAAAACTATTTACTAGTATCTAATCATTGTTACCCCAATTAGATCCCTATGAATGAAAAAACGCACAAACATGTCTCTATCACATTCCTTACCTTAGACAAGGAAGTAAGTGTAAAAGAATTATAAAATAATTACTAGTATTGAAGGTTAGACATAAAGTCTACCAATGCTCATTGTATAATACGTAATGCCTAGTTGCATGTTTTTTTTTTTATATGTGGATATACAATTTCATCAAGTTAGAAAACTAAATATTCATTCTGCAAAATGAGTTAGTTCACTTTCCCAAGAAACTACATTTAGGATACGTTTGGTTCACAGACAGAATAGAAGAGAAATAAAATCATTGTTCTGTAAGAATAGAATAAGGGAGGAATAAGTTTTATATAGTTTAGTTCATAGGAATAGAATGAAATAAAAATTATTATTATAATTTATTCCAATGATTGATTGACAGGAATAGTTTTAGAAATAATTAAGGAATAAGTGGTAAATGATGAAAATACCTTTTATTAAAATTAAAGAATTTATTTTGTTAAAAGATAAAAATATTCTAAGTAATAAAATCAAAATACCTTTTACTATAATTAAATAATATTTTCACCAAAATACAAACACATTTTTATTATAATTTAATAATATTTAAAATTAAAAGACAAAATATATTCTTCATTAAATTTAAATAATTCTGAATAATATTCTTTATTACATATAATAATATTAAATAATATTCTTTATAATATTTATTATGGTTAAATAATATTAATATATTAGATAATATTTAAATATTTTCAATTCCCTTTTTGTTTTGAAAATGAAGTAAAAAATTTTATGTTTGTGTGCTTTAGAGAGAAGATTGAAGAAGAGAGAAAAAAAATAAGTTTAATATTATTTTATAAAATAATTTTTAAATTATAAAAAATATATATTTGTCTAATCAAATTCTTTTCTTATTCATAACAAGCCTTGGCTATTCAAGCCTCTCTTGGAATGACTATTCCTTTGAACCCAATCCTTTTAACCCAATGCAATTTTATCTAAGGAATGAGAATAGGGGAGAAATGAGTATTTCATTCCTCCCAACCAAGCATGCCCTTATTTTATTCCAATCCTTTTTTATTTTGAAAAACCAAAATGGTTGTAACCTCTAAGTTACACAGCTGACACTTATATAATTTAAAAGATTTACATTAATACTATTATACAAAATTTACTTTAGATAGCTCAAAATTAAGCAAATTATACTTTTCTCTATGATGAAAAGGAAAAGCTTAATATTTTGCAAAATTAAAATAGTTTTGTCATTCTTTAATCCAAGAAAAAGTTAATTTTTGTTTTCAATCATTGAAGAAGTTGAATATTCAAATATCTAACTAGTGAATGCTTCACCTACCCAAGGTGGAGCTAGGCAACAACATTAGTTTCAACAAGAAAAAATATAGTGCGAAGAAAATTAAGAATCTCATATGCATGATGACAAAGATAATGGTAAATTTTATCTTAATTTCGAGGCTTTGTTATCATTAGAACTAGAATCAATACGATCACATCATAAAAATTTAACACTAAGACTTATAATTCAATACGACTCATATAAGACTATAAGACGGCAAACATACAATAAGACCCGGTGCTAAATTGTCACTAAAATTTTATCTTTAACTTAAACTTGTCAACAAGCCATGGAGTACATGCAAAATTCATTGCATTATTGTGACATGTCAAATTAAACATGGACTTAAATCAAATAAATTAATTTAAGTCTAGAAAGCACAACTTGATTGAGTTTATGTAGCCTTTTCACCCATGCATTCTCCTTTATATTTCCGTGAAGGCAAAGGCCAACTACTTCTTTCATCAATTTGAATATTATCCTTAAGATTGTTGTAACAATTGATAAACAAATGAAAAAATAATAAAACAAATGAAAATGAAAAAAAGTTTGAGGCTAAGATTGTTGTAACGTCTGATAATTTTTTCTTTTTGAAAATACGAAACTCGATGCAAAAAGAATGTAACAATTATCCTCCAGGATTCAATAGACTCTTTTTGATTAGTTTACACAAAATATCAGAAATATTAATAACAACAAAAAAACTAATAACAAAAAAGAATCCAGCAAAATAAGGTGAGGGAAGTAAAGAAGAGATAATAGCAAGGCTGGAATTTATAAAAATGAGTGACTAAGAGAATCAAGAGAAAATCAAGATAAAATATTCTGTCACATTATAAAAATAATGTTATAAAATATTCTAGAAAACAAAGCAAAATGAACGTTACAAAATATAAGTAAAAGGATTGAATTTGATTCAATCAAAGAGTAATGAATGTTACAGAATACAAGTAAAAGGATTAAATTTGATTCAATTAAAGAGTAATTTTTATAACTTTATAAAATATTCTAAAAGATTAGGTAAAATGAACGTTATAAAATATAAGTAAAAAGATAACGTTATAAAACATTCTAAAAAATCAGATAAAATGATTGTTACAGAATATAGGTAAAAGGATTGAATTTATTTCAATCAAAGACTAATTTTTATAACTTTATAAAATATTTTGGAAGACTAGGTAAAATGAATGTTACAGAATATAAGTAAAAGGATTGAATTTGATTCAATCGAAAACTAACTTTTATAACTTTATAAAATATTCTGAAAGATTAGGATAAATCAACATTACAGAATATAGGTACAAAGATTGAATCCGATTCAATCAAAGACTAATTCTTTCTTTATCACTGTAAAAGGACTGAGTCAAGTTAAGGTAAAAAAAAAAACTATTAAGGTATAAATATCATTTGGGTTTAACTCACGGGCATTTTTATGCACAACAAAAAATTGCACACTTTTTCATGACTTGGTTTTATTTTGTGTATGCGCGAGTTTAATTTTTTTTCATACTTACAACAAACTCATAATGAATTTACTAATATAAATCACTTAACATCTTTTGTAACTAAATAATGTAAGATGAAGTTTTATAAAATATCACTATTTTTCTAACAAATAGGATAGTGGCAACACGCAACAATATCAAACACTTTTTTTGATTCCCACCCAAACCCTTTTTAAACATATCAGCAGTACCAACCTGAACCAGACAGGCTGAGGACCACCGCTTTAATGGAAAAAGGGCGCTTGGCCGCTTTTTCCAATGGGCCCTTTGCTCCTTGATTTTTATATTTTGGCTGCTACCAGCAATTATCATTCTCTACTAAAAAAAAAGTGAGCTTACAGGGTGAAATATATATATATATATATATATATATATATAAAGCAAATGCCAAAAGGGTGAGAAATCCCATGAAGAAATGTTAGACCACCTGGAATTGTTTCAGATTCCAGATTGACTGAGTGCTGCAATTTGTCATCGCAGAAAATTTCTTCCACGTTTAAAGGTCAGGTGAGAAAACTCTGGCAATTCATTGAGTTTTGGTTCGGAGTTACCTTTTGAGTACACCAACACAATGCTTTGAATAGGACAGTGCCCCTTCAATGAGTGAAAGGACAAGGAAGATTCTGTGGGGCTTTTGGTGGGACTTGTATCCCACTGGAAAGCAGGAGCGGGCATAGAAGAGGTACCACTCAGTTTTGTTGGCTATAAATTAAACTGATAACTTCATTGCTGAAGATGCAACCCACATCCTAAATTCCTCAGAAAAATCAATATGATTTTAGCAGGCTAACAGCTGCTGAGAGAATTGCCATTAACCCACCAGATCAAACGTTTCAGAAACATCTATCAATAATTGTTATAACAGCTTTGGAGAGAATACCCATTCACCCATTACATCTAACAAGATACCAACAGAGGTCATGGGTAATAAGAGCGCTGAAATCATTCAACATATAAACCTCATTCATGAAGTAACATAGTTAATATAGAACATGCACCAGGTAATGACTGGTGAAGATAGTATGGTTTCATCTTTTCTCGAACAGACAAAAATAACCATATTTTTTTCCCAAGAAGCTACTCGACTTTGGTATTGTCTTGTTGTTCTACCCATTTCTGTGTCTTAACTTCAGAATTACCAAGTTAGCCTACCCGTTTCTTTGTCTCCCTATCAAGTCACCATCTCTATGCACATCTCAGCTAAGCCTCCTATTTCCATGAGAAGTTGCTGGCTTGCCAACATTGCTGAATCTTGATAATCCAGTGTTCATGGCATCCAAAAACCCCTTCATATGTCTGTCAATATATATTTACCTGCAAAAATTAAACAATACAAATTTTCAAAATTGACATTGGATGAAACGTGTAGGTTGATTTACCAAAATACGTACAAGATAATTGCAGAATAGTGACCTGTGGTCAAGATACTAGGGAAATCATTAGCAATCCCTACCAAAGACAAGAACTCATAAGCATTAATGGTCAATACAAAAATCTTGATTTATTTTACTTCTCCAAGGGAATAATTAGATATTCGCATTTTAGTGGCCTGAAGGATTATCTTATTTCATCAAAATCTTTATGAATAACATAACATAGATGTTTGCAGAGGAAGAAAAAGGCAGAAAAGATAGAAAGAAATTCTTTTATAACACATTCACATATGTAATTGCATTAACAGCTGATACACAAACCAATTACAAGTGCAAACACAACTTTGTTCTCAGAATCAATTACCACCTGCAGAAAGAGAATCAGTTAGGAACATATAAGTCTTTTCTACGGAGTCCAAATAACACAAGTAGAATTTGAAGATGTGCGATGAACAAAGTAAATGACACATGCTTAAAGAAAAACAATGCCAAGCCAAAGGATATAGATGCCCACCTACTTCAATAACCTTTAGGCCTAAAAAACACACGTACTTTGTTTAAACTGCAGATTGTCCAGGACTACTTCAGCTTGCAGCACCATTATTGCTTTGGCTTTCCTTGCTAGAATAGCTTTCATTTCTCACACTGATGAAGTCCGTGCCTTCTTTGGATTCTTTATCAGATTCACTATTCTCCAATTTGACTTTTGCCTGCAAAACATTTGGCTTTGGTTCTTCTGGACTTACAATAGGCTGCAGACAGTAAGATGATTCACAGGGCTTCATGCTCTCAGCTTCCAGGATAGATTCTGTCTCACGGTTAGTATTCGTGCTGTCAATATGTTCAAATCTTTGAACACTGGTGATCCCGGTTATTAATTCATCTTCACCCTTGTTAATGGAAGCAGCAAATTCCATTTGATGAGCAGCCAGGACCTCCCTCTCATCTTTGACATCATGAGGGTTTAAGAACAGACTAGGAATGACAGCTTGTTCAGCTGTTCTATTTTCTGTCTTTGTCAGGTTTTCCACCTCATTAGCTGCATTTCTACTGACATCACCAGGTCCTTTAGCAGTTTTGTTCTTTGAAGTGAGATCCAGTGTAGTAAATGAAGCGTCATTTGATGTTTCATCTCCTTCACTTGCTTTCTTTCCAAGTGTTTCACTGCTAATGTTCTGAAGATTAACTTCCATTGCCTCACTGTTGATATCAATATCCATTTCTGTGGTCTTTACTTCATCACACTGAACATGAGACTTCATATCTGCCTCCAGCTTCTCCAAAACATTGCCAAATTCTCTAGTTAAAGCTTTGTTGACCCTCATCCTTTTAGCTCTAGGCATAAGTCTTTTCCTTGAACCCTTTGGCTTTTTTGCTAATTCTGCGATGCTGATATTTAAGGAGTCATCTTCCACAGCTTTCCCGCTTTCTTTAATCCTACTGTTGTCTGATCCCACACTCCAGAACTCAGAATGAGACTTACCTACAGTTGTTTCTGCTTTAAACTCCTCAGCAGCTTCTTTGACAACTTCTGAAATGAAATTAGATTCATCTTCTTCAGGACTTGCCTGACCAGGTTTTTCCATGTCACTGGCCTTATTAGTTACTACTTCACCAACTTTCTCTGGGATCACAGCCACATTGGAGACCAAATCCTCCATGGTAACTTCAGTGCCCTTCTTGTATGTTTTGCGGCTTGTCCTTTTGCCCTCTTTCTTTGCTCCTTTTTTCTTCGTGGACTCTGAACTCTTTGTCATTGTTTTTGCACTAGTAAGATCTGTTGAGTTCTGTTTCATCACAGCTTCTCTAACATTGCCACTATCCAATCCATCAGCTTTTCCAGCAGAATGGGGTTCACTTTTCAACTTTAAATTGTCAGTTGGCATTACCTCAAGTTCAAAACGTTCTTTCCTTAAGTCCAACACCTCTTTATCACCATCTTCATACAGAATCCTATGCAGCCTATTCTTGTTATCAAAAGCAACAATGCGTCCAATGAACCATCTGCGTGAACCTGACCAGTAGATCTTGACTCTTTTACCAACTACAAATTCATTGTCACTCTCCTCCAGATTAACCATGCGGAAAGCAGGTACCTCTTTCCTAGGACGAAGCCTAGACAAACTTTTCTCTGAAGATGAGAAATATGCATGAACTATTTCTCCATCTGCACCCCTCTTCTGCTTCATTGGAGTGTCTGTGTTCTTGTTGTCATCTTTCTGGACAGTGTTGTCTACCTCTACCTGTCCATTGCCGATGGGAGCCCCTTCACTGGTCTGACTCTCCTCCTGTTTAGAGCACTCTGCCTTGGAATTTCCTTTCATAGTTATCATTTCTGTACTTTCTTTTCCCTTAAAATTTTCAATACAATTTTCTGTCAAGCTTTCTTTTGCTCTGTATCTAACACTGTTAGATCTTCCTCTAACAAGCTTCATCATCATTTCTTTCGGCAGACTCCCTATAATTAGGTCATCATCCCTGGCTATCTCATTTGGTTTGCCTCTGCCACTGCTTGCCCTAGAATACACAAGTCCATATATTTTCTTATTGGCCCTTTCTGCTACCTTATCAGCCATCTTGAGAAACAGAATATCAAACCTGAAAACTTACAAAATTGAAGTGTTGTTGAGACATATTCAGAAAGGAAACCAGAAGGAAAATGAAGGGTGCAAAATAATGAATTTAGAAGATAGTCCCAACTCAAAGTAACATACAACATGTTCAATCTCTTGATCTCATCCACAGCCATAAATGCTTGTTTAAGTTATTTAGTGTTGCAAGAACTTCTCCTCAACCCAGACCTCTTGCATGACTTGGAATTCTAGAATATTTGTCAATCAAATTACAAGGGTTCCTAGTAAAATACAAAATTATTCGTTCCCTCAAGACAATTGCCCAAAGTAAGAGTTCTTTCTGAAATGAGCCTTGTTTTAGTCATGAGGAACCATCAACCATCCATAACTGACCTGACAGAATTTGAAAATAATTGAACCACACACACCTTTAATTTTTCTCAACCCTATGGCAGTGAAGAAAGGACCCTAGGTATGATGGATTAAGCAATGTTTTAGAGGCTACAAGTAAAATGGCTGCAGAGATGACCTAAGTTATAAGGGATGCTCCTTGATCTTAAAAATTTCCAAAAGGAGTTTTTGTAAGTGTTTATATTGAGTTATACATGTTAATGGGAGATATATGCTGTTGCTGATATTCTTACAGGTGTGGCAATGGATGAAATGGAATTGTTTTAGGCCCTATGCAGAACAGCTTCCTGCTAAAGCTTTAATGAAGCATGGAAAAATATTTTGCAATGCTCACAATTTAGATGGTTGAGTATTGAAATGCTCACGCATTGCATAGAAATTAAGCAATATGTATTAAACTTGAAATGATTCAAGAAATTCCCTAAAACTCAACACTGAACATTTTATGTGGTATCATCACCTAGTTCATCAAATTCACAACCATCGAACTCCAGGGATTCCATTAGGCTGGACTAATCCTCTGAAGTTTGTTGGATGAGAACACACCAGTTAAGCAGGTAGAAACAGTGAAACAAAAGCAGTCACATCAAGCCTATTAAGAGTAAAGTTCTTAAGATTTCTGAGTTTAAGTCAAACGGAACTCCTGAGGTCCAATAATCATCACAACATTCTAAATGGTCAGGGAAAAGGTTTGTCAAATTGCATAGTGTGTAGCTAGTCCATTATTCTCTTCAACCTCTCTAAACCCTACGGAAGAAGGCATTGAAGTTTTGGAACTCTTTGCTAGTCAAATTTGCAGGATGCTACTTGGGGGCTTGTGTCAGATGACAGTTAGTAGTTTGAATGTGTAAAATTGCTTGTGCAATAACAATTGAGGTGAAAGAATTCAAGAAGAAAAAGAAGACACACACAAGATAGCTTAGACAAGATAGCTCTGATTCAAAGCTTGAAACCTTTGCCTTTGTGGTCTGGTAAGAAAGATACTAGTTTTTTTTAAGGGAAAAAGAAACTTTTTTATGAACAAAAAGATGAACTTAATCAAGACACATAAGTACCTACACTCTACTTATTTATCTATTTTTCACATTAGAAGCCTTCATTATCAGAATTGATGATTAGAACTACATAAACATAGAGCTAAGTCATGTACAATCGCGAGAATTAAGAAAAGGTGGTGAAATTAAAGCAGTCCAAACAAGGCATTCGGTGTCAATTCTTTTTTTGAAACGATAAGAACTTTTAAGAGGAATATAAAAGTGATAAGCAAATAAATCCAGGACCAAGACCAGACGACTGATACTGGAAACCCCAGATTCATCAGAAAAGACCTTTTTATCTTGAATAAAATGAGTTGAAGACTTTCAAGAGAGGCTTGAAACCAACATTATCAAAAAATTGAATCCTTAAGGCAAAAAAACCCCCAATGGCAAGAAATGCTTCATAATTAAAACTTAAAAATGAAAATAAAAACCAAATGTCACATAAAACCCCTTCATAAACGAAGAACCTGGCTATAGTCAAATGGTGATCAGATAATTTTATAGCAGAAAGAAGGTGAAAACTAGGGTACTTTCAAGGGAATTATTAAGATGGCTTTGTTATAACTGTTTTCCTTTCAGGAACTTAGCAGTTTTTGGGGATCAGAATCGCTTGAAAGAGGAATTTTCACAGAAAAGCACATAAAGACTTAACCTTTAGCCAAAAACAAAAACCCCAGAGGCCCAGTTTTAACAAAAGAACCTCCAATCCAAAGAATTGATACAACTGCTGAACTGAAAACCATAACCTTTACCTAGATTAGAAAAATTGAAAACTTTGACATGCAAAAATCAGGAAATGCAGATAGATAAGAAATGTAGCCAATAAAATGTATAAACGAAAGGAAGGGAACAAGAGGCAAGGCACCTAACCTTGAATTGCAGTCACACAAAAGCTTTGGCTTTGCAAACTATGAACAACCCCAAAAGCTTTCTCAACTGAAACCCTCAAAAACACAAAAGGATCTATAAAACCCTCTCTTCTTTACACAGTGAGAAACAAGAATACCCAAAAGGCCAAAACTGCTTCTTGGCGAGCAAGAGAGGGAAAATAAAAACAAAAGAAGAAAAGACAGGACAAGCCTGAGTGTCAGTTTAAGTAAGCTAGAATGTGCCAGGTGAGGTTTGTTGGTAAGTTACAAGCGCTGCGTCTGCTTTGTTGGGCTTTCTATAATGTAAGCATTGGATAGGCACAAACAACACACTCAAAGCCATGTCAGCTTTGAAAAGTGGCGGGAATGCTGTTGGGTTGTGACACGTGGCTAACTGTGCTTGGCTTTCTGTTGCAACTCGCAACTCAGCACTCAGCAGCATTTACTTGTACCCTCTGTCTTTAGTTGTAAAATCCAGCTTCACTTCTAGTGCGGTGATTATGCAAGTAAGATGCCTTCTTAGCACTCTTTTCTTTTTTCTACATGTTTTCTAGCTTCTACATATTTTCAAAGGAGAAAGGAAAATTGATAAAAAAAGAAAGAAAGAAACTTTTAATCATCAAAATCTGTGTTTTTCTAATGAAAACAATGTTTGTCTCACTACACATCATTAATATGTTAATCTAATTATAATATTTTATTTATGAATTACTTGATTTATTCATAAATTGATAATCCCATCCCTAAATATGTTTTTAGGCACTAACTAAAAACAATTTTATATAATAAAATATACCAAAAATTAGATTATTACTACTCAAGATGCCAAATAGTTGGAATTCAAAAAGGAAAACATAAAAATAAATAGTAATTTGCATTAAAATAAATAAATAATATAACTTAGAAACCCATAGATAATAAACAACAATTTTATATGCATTTATTTAGGAATTGGGGTGCAACACCATATCATTTTTACTTTAAAGGGCACGTTTCCCCTGGCTTAAGTCTTAACTTGTAAGCTGTACAACTCCGCAGTCCACACTCACGGGATGGAGGACTACTGGAGAAGTGCATGACAGTTGACACACAACACAAAACCAACCCACAGCCAGCCACGTGTCATATCCCATTAGATTTCCCGCCCCCTTTTGAAGCCTAACAACTCGGAAGAAATCACAGAACTCTATCAAGGGTTGTGATTCCTTGAAAAGATTATTTGTGACGGCATTCCAGCCAGAGTTTATGGGTGAATTTCAATGCTGTCCTGCAAATGTGCTATCCAATTCCTAAATGCTATCTATGGTTGTTGGGCATGTAGGTAGTTTTCTAAGCTTTGATGCATATGGGTTTCTATTTTTCTTGTTTTAAAGTTTTTGTTATTTGCACTTATGGATTCCTCCTGACATTTTGATTTTTATGTGCATTTATTTGTTTGGGTCTTTGTTTCTACAGATTTCACCTTTTTCCATTCGTTCTGGTTTGTTTGGTAGTTTACAAACTATGAAGAACCAAGGTATCAGCTTTTTCCTGTTTCACTTGTGAGCTTTCTTAAATGCATTAATTATATCATCTGATGTATGAGTTTTCTTCTATACTGGAATATTAGGTCATCTTCTGCAGCCATGTTGCTTTCAAGCACTAAAAACTTCTTGCACCTATGATCTTTTCTTCACTGTGATAGGGTTGAGAGATGATATAGAGGTTGTAGTTCAACCTTTTCATTCTTGTAAGTTACTGACAGTCGATGGTTCCTCATCAATCATACAAGGCTCCATTTCATTAAGAATTCTTACTTTGGGAAATTATCTTAAGTAGAATTTTGCATTTAACTAGGAAACCTTGTAATTTCCAGAATTTCAGGTCATGCAAAAGCTCTGGCTTAAGGAGAAATTCTTGCAACACCGACTTAAATAAGTACTTATGGTTGTAGATGAGATCAAGAGTTTGAACATGTTTTGTGCTACTATGATTTGGGGCTATTCTTCTAACTCTTCCCTTATTTAGCACTCTTGTTTTTCTTCTGGGTTCCTTTCTGGATATATCTTGACTAAACTTGAATTCCACAAGTATTTAGGTTAGATATTCTGCTTCTCAAGATGGCTGATAAGGCATTAACAGGAAAGCCAATAGAAAGATTTATGGACTTGTGTTGTAGCGAAACTACTGGCAGATGGCACCAAATGACATAGCCAAGGATACTGACCTGATTATAGGGAGTCTGACAAAAGAAAGGATGAGGAAGGTTGTTAGGGGGAGATCTAGGGAAGGTAAATATAGAGGAACAGAAAGCTTGTCAGAAAATTGTACTGATAATTTTAAGGGAAAAGAAAGTACTGAACAGATGACTATGAAAGGTAACTCCAAGACAGAGTGCTCTAAGCAGGAGGAGAGTCAGACTGGTGAAGGGGTTCCCATTGGCAATGGACAGACAGAGGTAGACAACACTGTCCAGAAAGAGGACAACAAGAACATAGACACTCCAATGATGCAAAAGAGGGGTGCAGATGGAGAAATAGTTTGTGCGTATTTCTCATCTTCATAGAAAAGTTAGTCTAGGCTTCATCCTAGGAAAGAGGTTCCTGCTTTCCGCATGGTTAAGCTGGAGGAGAATGACAATGAATTTGTAGTTGGCAAAAGAGGCAAGGTCTACTGGTCAGGTTCACGCAGATGGTTCACAGGACGCATTGTTGCTTTTGATAACAAGAATTGGCTGCATAGGATTCTGTATGAAGATGGTGACAAAGAGGTGTTGGACTTAAGGAAAGAATGGTTTGAACTCAAGGTAATGCCAACTGACAGTTTCAAGTTGAAAAGGGAGCTGTGTTCTGAAAGAAAAGTTGGTAGTTTAGATTCTGCCAACAGTAGGAATATGTGATGAAAGAGAACTCAAGAAATGTTAATGGTGCAGCAGTGACAAATGCTAATTTCTTTTCAGAAAATGCTAAGAGAGCTACTGAAGAATTTGAAGCAGAAGTTACCGTAGTGAAGTCTCATTCTGACTTCTGGAGCATGGGATCAGACAACTGTGACATTAAAGAAAGAGGGAAAGCTGTGAAAGATGACTTCCTGAAGATTATCATTGCTGAATTAGCAAAAAGGCTGAAGAGTTAAAGGAAAAAACTTATGCAAAAGGCTCTAAGAATGAGGACCTCTAAGTCTTTGAGCAGGAACGATAGCAATTGTGGGGTGAAGCAGCCTGCAGATATGTAGGCTCACATGCATCATGATGAAGTGAAGACAACCAAACTGGATTTTGATAGCAACAACGAAGATAACCAGGAAACTAAATTACCAGAGGAAGAGTAGAAAGAATGAAGCTCTTGCTAAGGAAGCAACTGAAATAGAAGGAGTGTCAAATGCAGCTCAAACTACCCAGTTCAATTTCTTGGCAAAGAACAGAACTGCTCCAGAAGCATGTAAGATTAGTGGAGATGCGGCTACTGAGGTAGAAAAAACTCATGAAACAGTAACAGATGAAGAAGATTATATTACTTCTCTCTTTCTCAAACCATCACAATGTGAAAGATGAAAAGAGAAGCTGGCTGCACATGTAGACTTTGCTGTTTAACTTGAAAAAGATGAAGAGGAGCTATTGAGTGGAAGAAGCAATATGGTAACTAATGAATCTGTTATGTGGAAGAACCTGGTGGGGTAAGTTTTTAAAAACGTTATGAGTCTTTTTTTCATTTTCTTATTTACAAAAAATACCTAAAGAAGCTACTAAAAATTTTGAAACAGAAGCCATAAGGATGCACTAAGAAGGTGAAATTGTAGAAAGGAGCTGTTTCTTCAGAAGAAGAAATGAAGATGAGAGATCATGCCAATGTCTTGATGGGAACAAGAGTCTGATTTGTCAAACCCAAATGAAGAAAGGTAGGTAAGGCAAAAGCAGCAACAAGAAGCAAAGGCAAACTCGTCAAAACGGAATGAACAGTTAAGAAAAGGTGAGTATTTGTTCCATTTCGTCAAGGATGTATGACTGCTAATGAATTAAAATAAAACGAAGTATATTTCTTGCTTGCTTTTTTGAAATGAGAGCTTAGTTTGGTTCAGTCTTTTATTATAGTTAATATCACACACAACTTCATCAACTGATGCTAAGAATTCTCTTTGTCTCTCTCTCTTCCTTCCTCGGAGATAACCAACCTCAGAACAAAATGCATTTACAGTTACTTTGAATCTCCTAGGACCTTTTCTACGTTCCAAATGTATTAATTTAGCTTCTTTTCTAGGTAGCTTTCTTGCCAACTTCTTGACTTGGAACCATTTTCTGGCACCAAATTTCAACATAAAAATTGTTAATCATTCCATAAAAAGGACTTATGCAAAGGCTAAAAGCAAGAATAAATCCTTACAACTGTTGATAGATTATACCTAAAGCCAGATTAAGTGATTCCTTAGGGTTGAGTTGAGATTATACTTGCTAAATTAGAGATGCTTTTAGAATATTTTGCGAACCCTAACTTGACTGCTACTGTATAGGCTGCAATTTCTCCGCTGGTGCTATGCAGTTATACCATGTTATTTTGTTTTCTACCACGGAGAGCATGTAGCTAAAAATATATTAAATTAGGGGCTTTCTACAATATGTCACAGGTTTGACTTAAATGTACATAAATCATCCTGATAAAAGAAATCATTAGAGCTTTTTACAAAATTAGATTGAAGGCAACATGAAAAGATGAAAAGTCGAATTCATGCATATGAGATATCAATTCAGTTAAAACAATTAAGCTTTAAATAAACTTGAAAATCATTATAAATGCACCATTTGGAACTTACAGGAAGATCTGAATTTGATAGAACAGAGATGGCAATGTCTAACCTTTTCGTCCTTCACTGCAAAACACTTAATAGAAACCTTTGCCATGTCTAAAACTGCAATCTAGGAATTCTTTTTTTTTTTTCCCCTGTTTACTAATGAACAAATCAGTTCTGATGTTGTAATTTATTGTTTAAGTTCTTTCAAACACTAGTCCAGATTCCAGAGTGCTAGCCTGTCAGTGGCAGATCCTGGTTTCAATTTTATCATAAAATTGATTGTCTTTATTTAACTATGAAATGGTTACCAAGAAGCAATAATATAGTTTACAAGACTACAGAAACACAGAACACATGTAATTAATTTTGCCAATCTGTACCTTGTTTTCTTATGACCACTACATGACTCAACTTTTTTTTCATATCAAAGTTTAATCTCAGTCAACAGAAACACACAAAACATGTAATTAATTTTGACAATCTGTACCTTGTTTTCTTATGACCACTACATGACTCAACTTTTTTATCATATCAAAGTTTAATTTCAGTCAATGTTGAAAATTGCTAGTTATATGCCTGAAATGTTAGAAAGTGTCAATGTGATGTTTTGGCTATCAAAGTTATAAATCAGAAATCACCATTACAGACCACATAATTTAGAGGACTTGAACCTGCATGTGTGCATCAGTTTTCACACTTTGCGAGTGTACTTTAATCTGTGGAGTCTACTGGTTGATTGGATGAAATGATACAATCACTTTCACGGGACTTTAATTGATCATCACAGAAGACCTATAAATGCAAAAAGGAAGTAGAATGAATAGTTGATTGTCTAAAAAATAATAATAATTGACAAAATTGTCCAACAAATATGAAGAGATTAATTACAATCAATAGCTGAGCAGCTTTCAACCGATTGGATCATGTACGGAGAAAAGAAATCAAGCAAATCAAATGCTGCAAAAAGAAATTGTAATATATCAGGTGGAGGGTTGATCTAATATAAAGAATTATAAAAATCTCTCAATTAAATATATAATCTAATCCAAAATCAAATCTATCAACTGGAAGGATAATCAAATCCAAAATCAAAAGAATATACTTCCAGGTATTCACTAATCATGATGGAAGAGAAGAGAAATTCTGATGAAGGTTAGTTCTATGGAAACAACAGAAAAAGTGTGACATCTCATCTCCTTAGTAGGAAGGGAAGAAAAGATGGGGAGAGGAACTCACCAAGAATGCTAGGCGATACCAATCATGATGGAAAAGTACTGATAAAGGACTATAAAGAGAGGAGAAATTCTCATAAACGTTAATACTATGGAAACAACAAAAAAAGTGTGGCATCTCATCTCCTTAGTAGAAAGGAAGAAAAGATGGGGAGAGGAACTCACCAAGAATGCTAGGCGATACCAAGTTGTTCTTCTAAATTTAAGAGAGTGGTCTAGGAGACCATCTGGGGTAGGTTAAACCATTGAGGTTTCTTCTCTTTATGGTAACAAAGTAAAGATATACATTACATGTAAGTTTTTCTTATTTGTTACTTGTGACCTTACGTTACACAATGGGCAGTAAGTTCATTGGTGATATAGCAGTCGTATATTTCACGCTCTAAATTCATTGGGTGAAATGACAGTGGAATATGCAACAGCTAAGTTCATTGGTCGAATATCAGTAACGCATGTCTTGCGCTAAGGTTACCAGTGAAATAGAGTGCTATACAGGGTGCGCCCACTGTCATTTCATACCACTGTATACAGCTAATGCTCCATGTCTTATCCTTTTGTACAGCTAGACTCCTTAAACTTGTTAAGTTTTATCTGAAATTTAATCATCTGTATAAGGAATCTCAGGTATATAACATACAAAGCTAACGCTCAATGCCGGTATAAACCAATTACTTATGTATGGGATGATGAACCTGGCCTGTGAACTAGCTATGTTCAATGTTCTAAACATTTTCACTCTCACCATGACATGCTGGTTGCATGTCTGTTTTCAGAAAGTAACAATTTTCAGGATTCTCAAGTTAAATCCGTAGTCCATTGTGAATGTTTGTGGCTTTGTTTTGAATTGTTATCAGTTGATGGACAAATCTGTTTGATAAGGGTAAGATTTAGCATTATATAAATAAATCTATAGACATAAAATCAATGATTTTTATTAATCTCTGTTCTTTTAAATTGCTTTCTGGTGGGGGGTGGTTTGCAAATAAGCAATTCAAATGCAAGATCATAAATTGATTGATGAAATTTCATAACAAAATCAATTTGATTGCAGTTTATGGAAGAAAATTAAATGCTATAAACCAGTGCAGATATATTAGAAGATATTACAATGGCAACAAATATGATGCTTACAGTTTACAGAATCTGCATTAAATGATTTTCAGAAACTGTGTGAAGATAATTCATAAGAAATTATTTTGTTTGCCTCCTACTGATTGTTGAAGGGCTTTTTACCATTATTTATACAACAATTATTATTTCATTACTGTAGCATAAAGTTCGTGATTAATGGAATAGCTATCATTCACACAAAAGCATAGTTAAATAGCCAAAAATGATAAAAATTGAAGGGAAAACCTCTGTGAGAAAATCAGAAAAGTTTTCCCTTTTTATATTGTAAAGGTTCCATTAATATAAATATAAATCCATTGGCACTATATAAAACAGATGAAATACTGAATGCAACGATCTCTCTTGTTTTAAAACAAGAGGAAGAAATCAAATTAGCTAACAAAATTCGTTACCTCATAAGAGTTTCAGCAATAGAAGTTATGCAAATTTGCAATATGTACATCTTTTTGACAGTTAAGTTAGGGGTCAGGGGATTTTGAACTTGAGAGCTCACTTTCTAAGGTGAGGCGTGGCTATCATTAATCTATAACAGTTTTAGCTGAACAACATAGATAATTTAGCCTCAGGAGAGAGAGAGAGAGATTTGTTGTGGTAGGCATTTACTAGGTTGTAGATAGTGAAAAGAATAACTAATTGTGCATGTAGTTGCTTATGCATTGAATGTATCAATGGCGCATTCCTATTCTCTTTTCCTCAGCAGGTAATGCGGAGCTATAGTGCTGATGTAGGCTTTTCTTGCTCATATGCTATATATCTTACCTTATTCTATGCTTGCTATTTAGCACAATCTAATACTGGATTGGAAGTTTTGATGCTTCAAAGTGTTAAGTCTTGGTTGAAACTGGAATTCAATGGGTCAAAACGTTGATATGCCAAACTGAAACATATAGCATCAAATTATCTAGTGTGCAAAATATTCATGAAAACATTTCACATTGTAATGTGTAATGTGTTTATAAGCTTAATTTTTGTCAAAATTTGGAGGTTGAAGATGCCAAATATGAGTAGAATCTATGTTTGGTGGGCACACAAGGAATGCAATCCAATCTTTAGAACCTGGCTTATGATCAATTTTTAGTTTTGCAGATTGCTTGCTTTCTGAATGGTGATTAGAGGGGAACAGCTGTGCATGTCTCTAAAGAGTGCTGTCAGCTGACATGGTCTGCATACTGTCCTTTGAGTAAAGCATTTGATTAGATGATGTGCAGGATTATATCCTTATGCAATGTCTGGTAGTTAGTACTCGAGTCACTCTTGAGTTATAGAAATTATGTACCTAATGACCAGTGTGAAATTTGCACTTACCTGCATGAGGTTCAGCAATTGAGGTTGCAAGCAGACCCGCAGGTTTTTGAACTAGTACTCTAAGCAATCTAGCGCTGGTTAACAGGACATTTTGAACCGAAGTGTCCCGAGGAGCCTGCTAGAACCGGACATGACTTTCTTTGAAATCCATCCTACCCTGCTTTAACGTGTCTGGTCAGGTTGGTTTTGGGTCAAAGTGAGCCTGAGCTGCTGCCCTGCAGAGCCACATGTTCAATGTAGGAGTTTATTAGTTTTTGAGATAAGCAGGGAAGGTAGCACATTGAATTTGTAAAATCCTAACATATCAACCAGAAGGCCAACTAATTATAACAGCAAGTTAAAACGTTTCCAGAGGTTGCTTCATTGTTTAAAGTTGTGTCAGGCAGGTGATAAGTTCCCTGACCAATGGGAATGGAAAACTTCATTGTCACAGTGCCCCGATGTTTGGGAACTTCATATTATATTGGCTGACCGCAACGTCAGCTAATGCTAGCGACTGAGAACAAAGAAAGTAGCTTGGAATACATTGAGCGTTCTAGGAATAAATCTCATCACCAACCCATTCATAGATGGCAATTGGCTGCTGCCGTTGGAGTAAAATGCAGGCAACTGATAACGGAGAAAAGAGGGAGTGAAAAAGGAAGGAAATCCATAGCATAAGCCGCCATTTTTGTAGTAACTTGCAACTTTCTCTAGACCACAGGGTCAGGAAACATGAACATTGAGCAATCAATAAATGATTCTGCATTTTAAGGTATGATTTAGACGATAGTAAAATAAAGCAGAGCAGGCCCCGTTCAAAGTCCTCAATCACCTAAAAGGCTGAGGGTGGAGTGGTTCTATCTTTTTGGCTTTTGACAGCACATGATGAAAGCAATTGAGACATACAAATTGAATGCCAGACAAACACTTTCTAACCAAAAACACCTTTAAAAGCCTGATTGCCATATTTACAATCACAAATTGTGGGCTAGAATAACCAACACTTTTTCCTTTTCCTCTTCCTTCTGCAACTAACTCATCACAAACAAATTCCGAACACAGCTATTTAAAGGACACTATAACCACACCATTCTAAGCCTACCTATCTCAGAGGTTCCACGTGAAAAATTAAATTGAAAGAAAGAAAGAAATTGGCAATAATATTTATCAACCAAACAAAAATCAAGGAAATTCTCTATTTTTTCCATAGCAACATTTGTTTCTTTTTTGTGATTCTTCTTCATTCCACTTAATACTCAATTGGCTAATTGCAAGGAACCATCCCTCATCAACTTCAAGCTTAGACTGTTAAATCTTTCCCGTGAATATTGTCTCGATGCCTTTCTCCAATCGGTACCAGCCTTCATCATTGCAACAAACTCCTCATAACTTATGCGCCCATCCTGCAACATAAAAGTAGAAGCTTTGACTTCCAATTACACAGCTTCCATCCAAGCGCTAAACACAAGACATGCAGGATTTGCACATATGTAAAGTAAAAGATGGACAAAAATAGCCATTTTTATATCTCAATAAAATAATCTATAGCAGAAAGGCCATGGATGAGGCAATGAGGCGCGATAAACTAGAATGATTGCAGAAGAGAAGTGGCATTGATAAGATGAATACATCATACTCTCCAGATTGTTAATGAAAGCAAAGTGGGGTGGTTGTTTAAGGTTTCAACTACAACAAATAAAACAGATGTACAATTATCACATTTTCAGAATTAGGTTTCCACTACTGATAAGACGCAGACGTTACAATTATCTGCCAATGCAAAGAACAAGCAAAAAACAGATAAACAATAGTGAATAAAACATTATTCCGTCATGCAAAGGAAACCAAAATCAGAATCAATAGTGATAGAAAATATATATGGCTTAAAATAAGATATTTGAGAAATGACTTTAATTTGCTCTTAGCTACAGTCTATAAGATGAGCCCTTGCCATGGATATTTTGAGGAAATATTGTCAAGATGAAGCTTTTTTAAGTTCAAATAGGAGCCACAATTACTGAACATAAAATTACAGTTGCGGCAGTACTCACCTTGTCAGTGTCAACATCATGCATAATGGCATTGATAACTTCCTCACTACTGGTGTCAACTTCATCATTTAAGGCATCTCTCAGATCTTCTATCTCTAAATAACCACTTTTATTTAGATCAAAGAAAGCAAAAGCTTTATGCAAGTGCTCATCATTGGCCATTTTCTTGAGGTGAACTGAAACTGCTACAAACTCTCCATAATTAAGAGTTCCATCACCATCAACATCAGCCTGTTAAAACAGGTTGCAGTTATTAAATTAATGAAACCGGAAATTCTGAATAGGAAACATTAGTCATAGAAATATGGTCAGACTCTGGAAACTGACTTTCTCCCTCTTCACGATTTAGGAGTGAAGGATCAGAATATAGAGTTTATGCAAATGTCTCCCAAAAGGAGAAGAATTGACTAGGAGGATAGAAGTAGAGAATAATGAAGCTTAACTTTTCTTTTTTATACCCCCTCCCCCACCTCAAATTTCATATTCTCTTTGGTTTTTCTTGAGTGAGAAAACATTGTCAAATTAGTTACAGACTTCAAATGTTTAAACACAATATAAAACTTAAAATAAGGGGTTGCATTAGTCATATCATTAGTTCTTAGATTTGAAGGGATCAAAAACAAAATAAATTTTGGGGTCAGGCACAAATAATCTTACAGCTTCCATTAGGATCTGCAAATCTGCATCAGGAACTTGTTGACCAAGCTTTTGCAACCCCATCCTAAGCTCCTCAAGGTTTATTTTGCCTTGTTTTCGAGTGTCCATCATTTCAAACGCCTCTTTTATGCCAGCTACTTCCTCCAGTGACAAATGCTCAGCAATCACCTGCCAAATCAAGAAAACTCCAAATTACGGTCACTACAAAGTAGAAACTAGAGATGTATACAGCCAATAACGAACCAGTTCCTAGGTAGCCCCAAAAAATTGTATCATGTAACTGAAAAGTAGATATACTATAAGTGGAGATATTTGAATTAATACCCTTAGAGCTCTCTTCTTCAGCTTGTTCATCACAGAAAATTGTTTGAGTCTAGCTTTCACAGTCTCACCCAGCGGAACATTGGGAGCTTTCTTGGCATTTTGTAACCATGGATGTTCTGCATACAATAGTTTGGATGATTTTTTATAGAAGGGCAATACATATCAACATACATAAAGCACGCCAGATAAATGTACAGAAGGTTACCAAGCACTTCCTGAGCAGAAAGACGCTGCTTTGGATCAGGGTTAAGCATTTTCCTTACAAGGTCCTTTGCGTTATCAGAAACCTTTGGCCATGGGTCCCTCTTAAAGTCAATAACAGAGCGAATAATTGCCTGTGCCACACCCTGCTCAGTCTCTGCATGAAAACATGATACTTGTTATTTATATCTATTTTTCTAAAAAATATAAGAGTAGATGGAGAAAAGTTTAAACAGTTTAAAAAGAAAACTTTTTCTTGATGTCTCCCTTATCTTTGCCCGCAGGCTCTGGAAGCAAATCTCTACCACTATCTAGAACTCTAACTTCAGAGAGTCAAATGAACAAAAGAAAATGGTTAACCCTTGAAAATTGAAAGACCAACCTGCCCAGAATGGTGGGACACCACAAAGTAAAATATAGAGGATAACTCCAGCACTCCAAACATCAACCTCTGGGCCATAATTACGTTTAAGAACCTCTGGAGCCATATAATATGGACTACCGACGATCTCATTAAAACGCTCACCTGTTAAAAAGGGCATTATTGAGGCAAAACTGAGCTGCTTGAAATAGTTTTAAAAAGGAGACAACTAAAGCAGTCTGAACTTAATTGCCATCAAAGATGGAAAAGGGGAAAAACACTATTAATTGCCATCAAAGATGGAAAAAAGGAAAAACACTTCTAAAGCTTAAATAGTCAAATACTTAATATGCAATACCAGGTTTGAAGAAGACTGACAACCCAAAATCAATTGCCTTCAATGGGGCAGTTTCCTTCTTATTTGCAAACAAAAAATTCTCTGGTTTGAGATCACGATGCATGACTCCATGTTTATGACACATCTGCAATACAAAATGCATACAGCGTACAAGGTTATTTATCTTCATGCTAAATGGAAGCACCATCGTCCAGATAAAGAAAAGAGAGAACAATTGCATGGAGGTATATACACAGTGAGATGTGAAGAGAAACAACATTGAACCCCAAACGTTAAAGATTTCAATTTTTTCAAGAAAACTCCAAAGTCCAGGCAGCAACAGGTAAGGTACTTCAAAACATCCTTATTAGCTATCATGAGCTCATAGAGACATAATTATAGTATAATTTGTCTCACAAACAGCTTTTAGAAACATAAAGATAAACAATCCACCATGAATGCCTAAAGTTGTCAGATATGTGGATTTTATACCAAATGACAAAATCCAATCTACCAAACTGATTGTTAAGTGCACAGGAAATATCTGAAAAGGTGGGTCATACACCAAGCCAACAAAAATCCAACGAAGCAAATGGATTGAGTTTATCATATTGCTTCAAAAAGGTTCAAATCAATAAGAACATCTACTCATTTAACATTAACAAATATTTAAAACAAAACAGCAAGAACAGAAGTAGGACTCATGTAATGCTGAAACCAGTTTTATAGCGAACATATAAGGAATAACTGTGTGGAAATCATATATGACCATAAACATGAAATGCAAGACAGTGTCAATTCAACAACAGAAAGATCATTCAGAATTCAACCTGAACAACTTCGACAATCGTCCTCATAACCCCTGCAGCTGCCCGTTCAGTGTAGTGTCCCCTTGCAACAATCCTATCAAACAACTCTCCTCCCTCACACAGTTCCATCACAATGTGCACAGCATCATCATCCTCATAAGCATCCTTCAACGAAACAATATTAGGATGCTTAGGCAAATGCTTCATTATCTGTACCTCCCTCCTCACATCCTCGATATCCACTGCAGTCCTAAGTTTCTTCTTGGATATCGATTTACAAGCAAATTTATCACCTGAGTTCACATCAGTACACAAATACGTTACGCCGAATTCACCACGCCCCAGCTCACGGCCTAAATCATATTGAGCTGAAATGTCATGCCCAGTGGGTTCCTTCAAAACCCGTAACTTGAAAGTAGTAGCAGATCCATTAGGGACAGCATAATCATCACCAAAAAATGGATTAGCTTTGTTCTTGTTTTTCCCTTTTTTATTACTCTGAACTGGAGACCCAGGGGTAGCACAGCAATTTCCCATGAATAAAAAACACTCAAAAACAAGCAAAAGCTCTCAACTCCAAATTTCCTGAAATTTCATGAAAGAGCCCATAAGCAACACAGATAAAATAAGGAATCAAGGTCAAAAACTTGTGAGATAACCATGCAGTTAATAAGTCAAAATTAAAATCTTAGATCCACAACATCAAACAACTTTCAAGAAAAAAGGGTTTTTTTTGGCAAATATACAACAAAGGTAATCCCAAAAAATGAGGGAAAAAAAAAAAGAACAACTTCCCAGAAAGTTGGAAGATTTAAACTTTGAAAGGTATTTTTCAGACAGAAACAAACCAAAAAAGTGTCCAGAAACAAACCCCTCCAACAAGAAACAAAAATTACCCAGAAAATCTGTCTAAGCAATGGACCACCTTAAACAAAGACAACATATGTATTACAAATTAAAGGAAGATATTTAAACTAACCAACCTTTCAATTTCCTTTTGCAATTTGAGCACTGAGAAAAGAATCTGAGGAAAACCCACCAGGGTTTCGGAAATGAAACTTCTTTCACTGCAGAGAAAACGAAAAGTTTTTTTTTTTATATATATCTTGTGGGTACAATGTAAAAGGAAGACAATTCAATGTGTGAGAAAAAATGCTTAGAAAGATGATAAGAGAGAGAGAGAGAGAGAAGAGTCAAAGCTCTCTGCTTGCAAAGACTTCCTCTCTCTGAAACATCTCTCCCTGTTTTCTTATTTTTGTTAAAAGAAAAAAAAATCAAAATTTACTTTTTTTTTCTTTCTTTTCTCTCTTGATTCAACCATGGAAGAGAGAGAGATAGAACAAGAACCCTTCTGTCTTTTCCCCCCCTTTTTCCTATAATTATTTTCTTCCAAAAATTACCCAAACAAACCTCAAAATAAAAAAAAAAAGGTATAATAAAAATTTTTGTTTCTATTTTTGCTTTTCGTTATTTATTTTATTATTATTTCCAATTCATTAATAGAGCTTTCTAAATGTTTGCTAAACAAATAGAAATGCAAATAAAAGTACTTGAAAAGGTTTGAGCTGAAAACATTTTGTATTTTTGAAAAAAAAAATGAAAACAAGAAGAAGAAGATGGGTGAAGGGATACACTTACCAACCAAGTTGAAATTTAGAGGGTCATTAGAGATGATTAGAGCTTAAACCCACTTATAATTAGGGATGATTAGATCAAAAATCAAGACACTTTTATAATGCTACATTTAGATTAATCCAAACCCAAGAACATTGGTGAGGTCCAAAGCTGGTCAAAGTTTGACACCTCTGTTTGGACCTTTTTGTGCTCATGTTCATCTTCATGTTAGGGTTTCATTCTTTAATTATTGTGAAATGTATATAAATAAAAATTGAAGGATAATTGGAGTTGACAATTTTTTTCTCTTTTTGAAAATTTTTTATATAAGTTTGAAATTTAATTCATCATCATTCCAATGTTGTTTGCTTGTAACAGACTTTTCCTTTTAAGAGTCAAAAACCATTATTCTTCTTTTAACTCTAATTTTAATTTAGCAATAGTGAATATATACAAAGAAATTAGAAAAGAACACAACTTTCTCTTATATGAAAGCACCATTTTACCCTTTTGACTATTAATGAGGTTAGTCAGCAGTTAACTTCATCGGACCGCAGTACCATATCAATCTAACTCTTTTTTTTTCTCTCTTTTACAGGTAAACTCTTACAGAGTAAGAGAGGGTTTTTTGGAAGAGGAAAAGGGGGGCTTGGGTTTTTTTCTTTCTTTCTTTTATTAAAAATTAAAGCATAAAAACAAATAAAAATTAAAATATAAAAAAGGAGTTTAATATGTAAAAGAAAACAAAAGAAAGAAGTTAGGTTGAATAAAAATGAAGTTATGATTAGATAAAGTTAACTGTTAACTAACCCCATTAACAGTGAAGGGTTTGTCTTTGTTCTTTCCTAGTTCATTTTTTGAGAGAGGCTTGTGTATTTCTCCCAATTTAGTGCAAAAGTTACAAATGCTGTCTCCTCATCTAAAAAGCCTCAAACTCTCTCTCACCCATAATCAAAAAAAGTCAAAGAAGAAACAACAAAAGCCAAAAGTGGCTTGAGAATCATCAAATGTCATAAAACTCTAGTGGATGTCATGACAATTTTCTCTTGGATTCAATGACATAAATTAGGGGAAAATATGTAGTATACTACACATACCATGCTTGAAAGAGGTGATTATAATGGATCTCCACACCCACTTTTTTTTCTTTATAAATCCTAATGAATCATATTACAAATCCAAGTCTTAGATTCTCACAGTAAATTCTTTTGAGATTGGATATAGCATGGAAGAAAGTGGATTAGACAAATAGGAAGAAAATACTATAGAAAAAACATGCTACACAAGTTGTTCCTTTGTGGGTTTCACTGTCTACCCATGTACACAAAAAAAAAAAGAAGCAATTGTTATACAGAAAGAAGAAAAAACATAAACATAAATTATTTTTTATAGACAGTTTTTAGATACGATTATATTGAAATAGTATTTGAACCCTGTTAATTTGGCTATCCAAATCCTATCTAGAACCACTTACAAAAAATAATCCAAATTGCTTACTATTTAATGGATTGGAATCTACATTTTTAAATAAGATTGTACATATACTTATTATTTAGTCATTTAATTTTTTTTTCTATTTTAGATATATACTACCTTTTACATTTGGGTTCACTAAACGTGTAGAACGTTGATCCTTAGGCAATTTGACTTAACAATATTAGTAATTTATCATAATTAAAGGAACGGATTACCTAATCTATAAAGATGTGGTCCTTGCTTTGCCAGAGTGTGGATGGTAGAGAGATAGGACATCTGCTTTACTCCAGAAAAATGCTCTAGAAATCGGACGCTGGCTAATGCCAATGCAGTCCAAATAGGATTAATTTTTTGTTTATAACAAAATAAGATATAAGAGGAATATCATTCTTTTAATTAAAATTTGGGAAAGGATGTTCCAATTCTTGCACTATAAAGAGGTGTGGTCAGATTATGCCAAATGTTCAAAATCTTTCCAGCAAAGTTAGGCAGTTACGTTCAAGAATTTCCTCTTCATTAAATAGTAGGTGTGTGTATGAAACCGAATTTTCCTTATTCCCAAAAGAATATATGTTATTCTTCCAATTTTGGGTTTACACAGGCCAGCCCGACTAGCTAAAAGATCCCAATCCTTTGCTTTTTTGACTATGTAAAGGTTAGTACACCTCTTGTCCACATATTTTTAAGTAGGCCAACATCCCCCCAACCCAGCCTAAGTTGAATGGCTTCTTTAACCAGTTGGCAATCACTATTTATTATCTAATGGTCAGTCAAACTCAAAACAATCAAACATATGAGATCAGGTGTATATTCGGAGTTCAGACACATCATTAGCACTTGTATTTGTATGGTTGCAAGGAGACTAAAGAGGTCTCGGATGACAACTTATAATGGATATGTTACAGGCTTTGTCAAGCCTGCTGCTTCTCCACCCTGATGGGGGCAAAAGAAAAACAAAAAGAACAGAAATCCCAGCAGATATGTCATGTACTACATATGACATGGCTTAAAAGATTCAGAATGAGTAAGTAAGTTTTACAAATCCAAAACCAGAGGAAAAGAAATACACATAATCCAGAAGTTGAAATTGTTGGTAGCAAAGGAGATTGGGCAATAATCGAATACAGCAAAATGAATAGTTACTGGAAGACTAATTATCAACTCCCAGTATGATGCAAGTACTGAAAATGGAAACATGAATCTCTGCTTGTTGGATTAAGCTCAAATTTAACGTGGTTCGATGAGTTAATCATCTATATAAAGCATTTCAGGCTTGAAATTGAGGTACATATAAGACTTGATAAAAAATAGACATAACTACTGAACTGATGAGGCATGGATTGGCTTCAGGTCCAAGACATTGCTATTAGACTCTTAAGAATTCCACAGCCAAAAGATGGAACTAAGTGCAACTGGAATTTTTTTTAAAAATCATTTGAGTTCTCATTACAGTGTTGAACAAGTAAAACAAAGTGTTTAAGGTTCAAAATTATGGATTTGGAGATATAGCAGAGAGGACTGGCAACATTTCAGAAAGACAGACACAAAAGTTACAAGATCAACAAATAAGCAACAACCCTTTCCATAAGCTTAATAAAGAATTTGATGGGAATCAGCCCACTCATGCATATGCATAATAACTACTAATTGTTTTACCAAGTAGAAGAAAATTGTTTTAAATTAAGTAGCCAAGCAACTGGCTTTTGAGCTCTTCAACTTCTTCACTTGCTGCTATTGAAAGACATCTGAATTGGGTATATGTCTTCAAAAGTTTTGAAAAATTACAACTATCTTTAAATATTTACAAACAAAGCATTTAGAAAAGAATATAGGGCAACAGGCTGCTCCAAAAATAATCACAGCAGCGGCAAGAATAGGATATGCAAAAAAAAACCAGTAGCTCCTTTCCATAAAGGAATGGCTCACAAGGACTTAATCTGTCATTACATAAGATAAGAAGCAGGCAAAGGCAACCTTGGCAGAATGGAAGGCTAATCACCAGCAAGCATTATATAACAATAGCAGACACTGCAACTCCTCTCATGGGGTAGACAAAATCAGCAGCTCCTGCTCAATAGAAAAGGTTTTTTTCTTTATTTTTCGGGGAGGATATAAAATCAAGCTTTTGACTTTGAGTAAACATATAGAATTAACGTTTAGTTTTCTTTATTTTATTTGAATGGTTAATTTGTTTAATTTCTTGTTTTTTTTAAAACAAAGAAATAATGTTTTCTTTAAATATTATTATTACAGTTTTTATATTATATTATACATGTAATAATTTTTATTAAATATGTATTAGTTTTCTTTGAACTTATTATTAATGTTTTTATTCGCCAAGTACAGAAATAACATTTTCAAAAACAATAAATAAATTGATATATACTACCTTTTTGGAAAACCAAGAGGAATAAAAGCTAAACTTTCATTCCATTTGTTCATTACAGTAACTTGATTTTATTTCCTCCTCAAAAGAATAGTAGTAGGGCTTAAAATCTCTGTCTTATTACTAAAGTTTAAATAATAATAAATAAATAAAAATATAAGCACTAAAATAAGACACAAGAATCAAAGAATAATAAATTATTCAAATTCAAATTTGTTTACGATCAGAATTTTATAATATTATAGTTTATATAAATATACCATTAAATTTGATATAATTAAATCAGTGTATTAAAATACATATTATATATTCCAGACATGATTAGTTTTTGTTTATAACAAAAGCTTTCTTTATCACAATAAGATAAAAAAGCAATATAATTCTTTTAATCAAAATTGGGAAATCGTGCACTGTAGAGGGTTTACCATTACCATTACCATGCTACCAATTTATTTGTACTATTTATTATCAGTTATATTTGACATGTTACACATCCAAAAACAGGGGGAAACAAATAAACACATAATCCAGAAGTTGAAATAGTTGGTAGCAAAGGAGAATGGGGCAATCTAATAGAGCAAACTAAATTGTACTTAAAAAAAGACTAATTATCAACTCCCCAGTATGATGCAAGTACTGAAAAGGGAGACATGAATCTCTGCTTGTTGGATTAAACTCAATTTAACGTAGTTCATTGAGTTAATGATCTACATACAACATTTCAGGGTTGCATTGATATAGCAGAGAGGACTGGCAACATTTCAGGAAACAGACACAAAAGTTATGAGATCAACAACTACGCAAGAGCCCTTTCCATAAGCTTCTCTTTTGGTTAATTAAAGAGAGAAATGCATGCAAACTAAAGATTTTGAAGGGAATCAGCCCACTGATGCATATGCATAACTAGTACCAGTATCACCAAGTAGAAGAAAAACTTTTTAAATTAGGTTGCCAAGCAAATGGCTTGAATAAATTCATGTCTCTGCGAAAAAGAAATTTAGAAAAGAAAAGGTGTTTCCCTAAAGTACAAGCTAAGTGCTTCTTGAATTGATAAATGCAGATTGCTACATCAACCCAGATACTCCATTTATAGGCAGATCAACAATGTCAACAATAATGATCCCTCTTTCATTCTACGACTATCCCTATACATAATTTTTTGGTATAGTTTCAAACAATTTAGAATTCCAAATATAATTATGATTTAAATCAAGTCAAAGGAAGTTTAAATTCAACTTTTAAACAAGAAGAGATCACAGATGAGAACCCCTCAACCCTTAAAACCAAAGACATCCATGTTCCATAATATAATTCTGCATGGCACAAAGAATGAAAAATGAGGTCGTCAAGTACCAGATAATTACTTCCTTGAAGAGATGCACTACAATTTCATGCCATTCTATGGTAATGAATCACCAGCAAATATTGAAACTATCAAGAGATGATTTAGTTCATTGGTTGGTACATAACTTCCTACTTAGAAAGTAGAGTTTGAATTCCCTTTTTTTCAATTAAAAAAAATACTTAAATCATCAAAAAGCTCTATATTTATAGAGTTCATTAAGTCCAATCTACAAACATGCCATTGAAATACACATGTTCCAAATAACAAGACTTAATTGCATGGCATTTGCACGACGTTCACCAAAAGTTCTTATATCTACAGACATACCATTAAAGTACACATGTTTCAAATAACAAGACTCAATTGCACGGCGTTTGCACAATGTTCACCAAATTGTTCTTACAACTGGGAATGAAACATATAGAAATATATCAACTACCATCCAAAACACAAAATTTGTTTTAACATGTTGAATTGTTGATATGAAAGAACAAACCATACAAAAGAAACTACAGCTTCTTTTTTCTAATTTCCATACATGTTTCAAATAACAAGGCTCAATTGCATGGCATTTACACGACGTTCATCAAACTACAACTTCTTCTTTCCAATTTCCACATATGTTTCAAATAACAAGACTCAATTGCATGGTGTTCACCAAATTGTTCTTACATTTGGGCATGAAACATATAGACATATATCAACTACCATCCAAAACACAAAATCTGTTTTAACATGTTGAATTGTTGATATGAAAGAAAAAACCATATAAAAGCAACTACAGCTTTTTTTTTCCAAGTGTCAAATTGTCTATTGTGCAATTCCCTTTGATATGAAAAAGAAAACCATTTCAAGAAACAACTTTTTTTTTCCAATTTCCAACTTGTCTATTGTACAATCCCCTGTGATATGAAAGAGGAAACCATTCAAAGAAACTATAGCTTGTTTTTTTTCAATTTCCAAATTATCTATTGTGCAATCCCTTCCATTACTTGAGGATATAAAAATGGTAACAAGATATAGGACATAAATGCTTTAAAAATAGTGTTTATAAGCTATTGAACTAAATTCTAAACTTACAACATCTGACCTATCTTGCATTAATTGCACCAATACACTAAAACTACTTCAAAGCAAAAACCTAAGTTTGAAAAACATTTAATCACCTCATATCCTTCCTCCTTTCTTGCTTTTACTAGATGAAACCCCTACGATAAGAAATCATCTCTAACAAAACAAAAACCAATATATGAAAGTGATATGCTATCAAATTCTAGCTGAATTTTGAATCTGTATTTCTTATTGGATCCTAAACCACTTAAACTAAAAGTTAAGAAAGAAAACCAAAACTTAAATAATGTAAAATGTAAATTAAAATTCTTTTAATTAAGATCAGAAGTTGAAAAGAAATTAGATTGTATCATTTCTTTTTGTTTTATTGCTTCTTTTTAGGACCATTTTCTTTCTTTTTTATCATTACTAGTAACATTACCATTAAAAGAGATAAGGTTGCCAACCAACATATTCATTTCAAATGAACTTGGAGCTCCTCGAATCTTTACATTCTTAACTCTTTCCTTCTCCAATCATACTAGACAAACTTCTTCCCATCTTGGTTCAACAAAACTTGGTCACCACTTTTTGAATAGGCTAAAGGCAACACAAATTCAAAATCTGAATTATCTGATGTTGCTTCACAAATAACAACTTAATCCAAGATTCTTTCATCCATATTCTTTCATCATTCATATATCAACAACATGAACTTCTCAATAATTTTCATTCATACAAAGGCAAACTCCTAAGACTTGTACATTCATCTGAAACTTCTTATCTAAACAATCCAATAGTTGAACCACACTCTTATCTAAACAATCTAGTAATTGCACCGCACGGCATTCCTCGATTCCAAGATCTAAAGTAACAACAAAGCTCTTGCATGTAACTCAGGCTTTTTAAAAACCACACATTGCAAAGCATTGTTGGCAATAACCCAATATCCTCGCTTGTATTTAAGGGTCCATATTTTTTTATGTAAAATATTTTTTAGAAAATATTTTCAAGACTTATACTTGTTTGGAAGACCAAAAACTTATTTCAAATGTAAAAAATTTAACGAGTCAATGAAAAATGCATTACGCTTCTAAAAAGCGTAATACATTTTTAGAAAAAAACTCTTATGCTAAGTCTAGGAATATAAATTTGATAAATATTAGTATTTAACTTAAAATATTAAAAAATTAAAAATATATTAATATTTAACTTAAAAAAATTTTAAACTAAAATATTAATATTTAAATTATTGAATAGTATTAAAATTAAAAAATATTTTTTAATGAAACCATTCAATGTAATTAATTTTTTGTTTATAAATAAAAAAATCTTACTAATAATTATAATAAAAAAATATTTCAATGATTGTCATTTTATGAATACATATAAGTATAGATTTGGGATGTGTTACAGAACTAATAAATATTAATATTTTTATAATGAATACACATAAATATATGTTTTGGATGTTTTATATAATTGATAAATATTGATATTTTTATAGTATTATGGTAAAAAAGTGATAAGATTAAAAAAAATTTTGAAAATTAAAACTTACTTTAATTATAAACTAGAGTTAAGAATCATATGAATGATTGTATTGCACTAATGATTAAATAAAACACTCAAATACCAGCAAGCTTAACTCATATCTATACACATTCGTTAACCAGATATAAACAACTTAATTGCTGTTAATTATTTTTCATCCGAAAGAAAATAATTTATCCAAAGAAAACATAGGGTTTTATACAAAGCAGATGATGAAACTATTATTGGCAATAGGGGAGCAAAAATGGTCCATTCCCAAACGAATGTAAAATAGGTATGAAGCAAGTAGCAGGAATTACTACCAAGTTGACAAGCCATGAATCCATCTGGCTTCTACTATTTCAATCTTATGGTCAACAACAATGTGTAGCTTATACCTCAAAGCCTATAATTAACAAATATGGTTTTATAAGTTTGAAAAAGTCTAATTGAGGCAAAAATCAAAGATTAATTCATTGTTTGAAACCTCATGATTGAGGACAACATAACGAAATTGATAGAGAAGAGAGCAAGAAAAGACCTGGCCCCTAAGGGTGATAAAAAGAAGGATGCGATCTAGATGGAGGAGCCAAAACAGAGTATACAATGGCAGAGGATCAGTAATATCTAAAAGAGTGGAGCCAAAGATTCAAAGGGAGTAAAAATCATCCAAGAAGAGTCCAAAAATGTGCAGGTGATGACTTCTAATTGTTTTGATGCGATCTGAGAAGTGGAGAAGGAGAATCAAAAAAATCATGAAAAACAGTGGCGAACAAAGATGGTGAACAATGCCAATATCGCTATTGAAAATATTAAAAGCCTATCAAATGGTTGGTAAATTGAAGAAAATTTTGATGCCGCCCACCTACAAGGTGCACTTGAATTTTTGAAGGATAATTCATTTGTAGTGAAGGCTAGTTCAAATGTGGGATAGGAAGAAAAAAGTAGGTTTATAGCAAACAAATTTTAGTTGTCAACAGACGAAAGGTTAGGTGAAAACTTTGGCTCAGAGAGTGCATTAGCTGATAGTGTGCAGTTCACTAAAGACTAAGACTATGTTCAATGGGCTTTAAAAAATGCTTAGAATATCATGGTTCGGAAACAAAAGCTGAAGAAACATGCAAAGCAAGTAGTTTCTGTAATGAATGCTAACAGTGCTAGTGGATCCATGATACGACGTTTGAATAGGCCTACTGAATCAGAAAAAGAAAACTAGGAAGTGGAAATGAATGGGTTAAGGATTTCAGTTAACGAAGTAGTAGAAGTGAAGAACAATAGTGCTGAATGTTCGACTTGGCATCGATCAAAACCAGGTCAGGATAAGAGACTGACCAACAACGTGCAATCTCTCATGCATTCCCATGCAGCATTAGGGAATAGTTTAAAACCCTACCCATTCGTCTCTAGAAGGAGAAACTCATATAATGTCCTTTATTCCCCAATAACTCTAAATTTCTTGCATGATGATGATTTGGAGGTAAAAAAAAATGTACATGATAATGATTCTATCTCATTGAACCCTTCAATTCAGACTTACCCATGATAAATTCTTTAATTTGGAATATTCGAGGCATTGCTGGTAAAGTTGTGCAAAAAAGAATGAAGAAATTAAAAATGATGCATAATATCAAACTGCTAGTAGCATTAAAACCTATAGTGCATGTTAGTAACATGAAATTTGTTAAAAAGAGATTGAGATTTGATACGGGGATCACTAATTGTTCTCATAAAATTTGGTTTTTTTGTTTTAATGAAATCTGCTGTGAAGTTGTGATGGACCAGGTTCAATGTTTACATGTGAAGCTATCATTTCCTTGGCTTCCCTAACCTATGTATGCCTCTTTTATTTATGCTAAATGCACTCGGCTTGAACGACCGGAACTTTGGAATAGTCTCCAGTCTTTCTTAGCTGATATGCAGGCACCATGGTTAGTGGGTGTAAATTTTAACTCCATTATCAGTAGTGAGGAATGGTTGCATGGTGCAGCTCCCCATGATGGATCCATGGAAGACTTTGCTTCCACCTTGCTTGATTGTGGCCTTTTGGATGCAGGCTTTAAAGGCAGTAATTATACCTGGACTAACAACTGTTTGTTCCAACGTTTGGACAGAGTGGTGTATAACCAAGAATAGGATGAATGCTTTTCCTCTACACAAGTTCAACACATAAACTGCATAGGTCTAACCATTGCCCTCTTTTATTCTCTTGCTCTAATACAAATCAAAAAGGTCTTTCTACGTTCGCTTCTTGCATGTTTAGACAAAGCACCATGACTTTTTTCTTTTTGTAGAAAAAAGTTGGCAGACTCCTTTATAAGCTTCAAGAATTCTAGCATTTTGGCATAAACAACAACAGCTTAAACGAGACTTGAAATGGTGGAATAAGTAAATTTTTGGTGACATCTTTAAAAACCTTCGGTTAGCGAAAACAGAAGCAGAAGAAAAGGAACTGAGCTTTCAATAGGCTTCTTCAGTAATTAACAGTGATCTAATTCACAAAGCCTATGCTAAACTCAATCGCCAATTAAGTATTGAAGAGCTTTTTTGGCAACAAAAATCTAGCATCAAATGGTTAGTAGAAGGAGAATGTAACATAAAATTTTTTTCATATGAGGATGTAGAAAAAAAAAGTGAAAAATCATATTTTTTGGATTCAAGACCAGAATGGGACTGTCCTTGAAGTGCCCTATTTAATTCAAAATTCTGCCATTGATTTTTTCCAGAACTTATTGAAGGCAGAACATTGTGAAGTCTCTAGGTTTGATTCCTCTATTATTCCGCGTCTTATCTCCACCACTAATAATGAATTTTTATGTGCAGCCTTATCACTCAAGGAAGTTAAGAAAGTGGTTTTTAATATAAATAAAGACAGTGTTGCTGGCCCTGATGGTTTTTCATTCCTTTTTTTATCAACATTGCTGGGACGTAATCAAACATGACCTTTTTGAGGCAGTGCAGGATTTTTTCAATGGGGCCCCACTTCCACGTGGAATTACTTCAACAACACTAGTTTTGTTGCCTAAAAAACCGAATGCTTGTCAATGGAGTGATTTTCGTCCCATTAGTTTATGTATTGTCTTAAATAAGATAGTATCTAATCTTTTGGCTAATCGGTTGTCAAAAATTCTCTCATCCATAATTTCAGAAAATCAAAGTGGATTTCGTTAGTGGTCAGCTTATTAGTGACAATATCTTACTGGCACAAGAACTCATCGGCAAACTTGATTGTAAAATTAGAAGAGGTAATATGGTACTGAAATTGGATATGGCAAAAGCATATGATTGGGATTTCCTTTATTTAATGTTGGAGCATTTTGGCTTTAATGCACAATGGATAAGCATGAAAAAAAACATGTATTTCTAACTGTTGGTTCTCTTTACTCATCAATGGTTCCATGATGGGCTATTTCAAATCTGAAAAGGAGCTATGACAAGGGGATTCCATTCATCTTTTCTTATTCATATTGACGGCAAATACTTATTAAAGGGAATTAATCATTTATTCAGTCATTACACTTCCCTGCATTATCAATCTGGCTGCCCAATGATTATCAGTCACCTAGCCTTTGCCGATGATATAGTTACTTTTACTAATGGTTGCCATTCAACCTTGTAAAAAATTCTGAAATTCTTGTAGGAATATGAATAAATATCTGGACAACAAGTTAATCACTAGAAAAGTTACTTCATTACATATAATGGTTGTGAAACTTCTAGAAGGCATATCATATCCCTAGCCATGGGCTTTTAACATAAAACACTCCCTATTACATATCTTGGAGCTCCTTTGTATAAAAGATAAAAAATGGTAATCCTTTGTACCAGGATGGGAGAATAAGATTCTATCACCGATAGGGTGCATCACATTATTGAGAAATGTTTTATCCTTACTTCCAATTTAGTTATTACAAGTCTTTAAACCCCCGACAATTATGATTGAGAAGATAAAAAGGCTTTTTAATAGCTTCTTTTGGGGTAGTTCTACTACATATAAAAAGATTCATTAGGCAGCTTAGAATAAAGTCACTCTCCCAGGTTCGGAAGGCGGGCTTGATATCCAAAATTTGAAAGATGTGTTTGGGGCCTTCACAATGAAACTATGGTAGGGATTTCAAACTTGTAATAGCCTACGGACACAGTTTTTGAAAAAAAAAATATTGTATTCACATAGCTATCTCATTATGTTCAACCGAAACCCTTGATTCGTAAGTATGGAAACGAATGCTTGATGGTAAAACAATTACAATCCAACACACTCGGTGGAGGAAAATAGAGGGGAGCTTTTTTTCTAGCCTAATTGTTGGATGAGAGAACAACCTTTGGTAACTTCGCTTCATTCTTTTCAGGATGATATGTCTTTTGTTAATCATTTTTATAATGGTGATGTATGGGATGTTGATAAACTGAAATTGTTATTACCTACTGAACTAGTTGATGATATTTTGAAGATTCCTATTGATAGCTCACAAGATGATGTAGCTTATTGGACTCTAACACCCAATGGGGAGTTCTCTACCAAGAGTGCATGAGAGGTAGTTCAGTAACGGCAACCTCATACTACTATGGGCCTGCTTATTTGGCACAAAAGTATTCCATTACTGATTTCTTTTTTCTTATGGAGAGTAGTAAACAATTGGTTACCGGTGGAACTCCAAATGCAGAAAAAAGGTATTCACTTGGCTTCTAAATGCCTATGTTGCAACTATGAGGAATCTTTAATACATGTTCTATGTGAAAGTCCGGTGGCAAGATAGGTTTGGACTATCTTTGCAAATTCAGTTCAAAGTCATATCTCAAATCCTCAACATGTCTTTCAAATTATATGGGCATGGTATTATTCTGGTGATTATACTAAATAGGGTCATATTCGTGTTTTACTTTCATTATTTATATGCTGGTTTTTGTGGTTTGAAAGAAATGATGTGAAGCATAGGCACTTGGGTATGTACCCTGACAGAATTGTATAGAGGATCATAAAATTGCTAAGACAATTATTTAAAGGTTATCTCCTGAAATGATGGCAATGGAAAGGGGATTACCACATAACTGCTTTATGGGTTTTTAAATTTTCTACTAAACATTCTATACCTCCTCAAATTGTGCATTGGACCAAACCATCTATAAGTGAATATAAGTTGAACGTAGATTATAGTTCTAAAAATAAGCAGCAGGCTGCAAGTGGAGGGGTCTTTTGAGATCACACAGGTATGCTCATTTTTGGTTTCTTGAAAAAGATTGGTTCTTCTAAATCCTTACAGGCAGAGCTACAAGCACTGTTTAAGGGCTTGTTATTGTGCCAAGAGTGCAATATTAATAAGTTATGGATAGAGATGGATGCATTGGTGGTGATTCAGATAATCCAACAATCTCGAAAAGGGTCCCATGACATGCGATATTTATTAGAATCTATAAGGAAATGTTTGCAAAATATTTCTTATAGAATTTCACATATTTATCGAAAAAGTAATCAGATAGCAGACTTTTTGTCTAATTAAGGCTACAGTTATCAAGATCTTTGTGTATTTACTAAAGCACGAGGCAAACTATGTGATATTTTCAAGCTAAATAGATTAAATTTACCTTATGTTCATTTTAAATAAATATAAAGGAGTAATACTCCTTTTTTTTATTTTTTCATTTCCTTGTATTGTTAGTTTTTCTAAAATTCTTATAGATCCTTATACATAGGTAATGTATTTATCATTTCCACTAGAAATTATAGCAAAGATGGTAATCCCTATATTAGGAATTCTATTTTTTATTGCTCATGTAATTCTGGAGGTAAGGTTTCGGTCTCGCTCCTGCTATGCTTAATTTTTTTTTTTATTATTATTATTATTATTATTATTATTAATAAAACAATTACAGGGAACTTACAGCACAAAAAAAAAAATAACTCCATTAATGATAGCAGAAAACATTTTCCATAAGATAACCCAAACTATAAAAAATATTTTGACGGTTTATAAAAAAAATATTAAATTTTTTTATAAATTCATTGAAAAAAATTTTAATAAACTAATTATTTTTCAGTTCCCAAACGAAATCCTAAGATAAAAAAGAAAATCGTTAATCCTTCTCTAAGAATTAGTCCACAAGCTGTAAATCTTAACTTCAGAGTCAAAAGTGTCATAATTGCAACATCTGACCAACTTGTAGTCTTCAAAAATGAGATCATAGCTCAATCCATAACAATGAACAGGCAACATCTAGTACTTTCTCATTGAAGGGCCAATAAAGTTAATTCCTCTTCACCATTGAACAGAGCCAACAAGCCAATGCAACAACCTAATATTTCAATTCCTTTCCCTACATCGCATCGTCTCAATCAAGTGGATTTCGAGTGAGTCCAAATTGACAAAATAGTTGAGACACCTTATTTTGTACGATAATATTATTTTTTATTAATATAATTTATTTTATTTGTTTATTGACATTATGCTACTAAGTCAAGTTGATTTTAAGTCCAATTAAAATTGAACCATTTTGAGCTTTTGAAACCCAAAATCAATTTGGGTTTGATTTTAAATAGAATCTTTTGACTTTCAAGGCCAAAGGCCCTTAAACCAAAAAAATTAAAATTTTGAAAAATTTAAAAAATAAAAAAATCAAATCAAAAAGGGCATAATTGTCCAAAAATTTGAACAACCGAATTTTATAAGAAGCCTAAAATTCACAAGAAAAAAAGAGAAGAATTGAACAAAAAAAAAAGAAAAAAGCTAAAAAAGTCCTGTCTCCATAAATCTTCCCAATCCACTAGCCAAGCTCATGCCTTTTGTGTAGGAGCCCGATGAGCTTGGGTTAGATCCACATAAGACCACCTCAGGAACTCAAATTCTTTGGGCTTTACATTGAGACTAAAGAAAGGAATGTTTGGACTATATTGAATTTATTTAATATTGTTTTGTTTGTTAGCATTTACATTATGTTTAGTGGGTTGTTTATTTCCCTAAAAAATAATAATGAAAACAATGAAATGATAGTGAGATAATCGTTAAAAATATTTTCTTCATGTGGATGTGTGGATATGTGTATTTATTCATATACTTGAAAAATGGGAATAGTGAATTCTGAAACAAACAAAAGGAAATAAAATGCATGTGCATGATTATTTTATAAAATGTACTAGTTTATTACATAATGTAAACAATAGAACATAATGAAATGATTATTAAACAAATGTACGAAAATATAACAATAAACAACGTAAAATGTATTAAAAGATATGTAATAAAAATTATTAAATAATAAAAGATGTAATTAACTTATTTGAAGTGGGGAAAGCCATTGATCCCAAGTAAAATCGAGACCCCACCAATAGGAATGTGCAATGATCGGTTACAACTGGGCAACCGACCGCAATTGTCGGTTATGCCGACCGCAACTGTCGGTTATGCCAACCGCAACTGTCGGTTATGGTAACCGACGGTTACAACAGACGGTTGCAATGACAACCGTCGGTTGTTTCGATTGGCCTCGTCTGTCGATTGGCTCGATTGTCGAGAGAGACTCTTTCCTCCTAGAACCGATTGAATACCCGATGTTTTTTTTTTAGGGAGCAGAAAGATACAATTGCCCTTCATTAACATCCCTAAAGGTTAAAATTAGCCCTTACCTCTTATTTCCTCCCAACCTAAATTCCTGCTCGCGCCCCCCCTCCGCCCGCCCTTTCCTGCTTTCTGCCTCTCCCTCACTCCCTCTCTAACCTCTCGAAATCTGCAACCAGCCAGCCACCTTAAAAAATCGACCGAACCAAGACTCTTAAAAATTGACCGAAATCGACTTTACATTTTATGCGGTTTGATCAGTTATAATGTTGAAATTTTTTTATCAATTTTACCAAAAATCGAACCGAAATCGACCGAACAGAGCTATGCACACTCCTACCCACCAGAATAATAGAAGGATCCCGATTTTAATAACCTAACATAATTCCAACAATCACTCTAGATGATAAAGTTAATAAAATTTATTAATATATATGACAAAACATATAAAAATAGATAAAAATATGAGAAAAATAATAAGCAGATATTTGACAATCTAAGCCAAAGATGGAATTTCAGTCGATATGCAAAATATTGTTATAGTAAGATCAATTTTCCTAGGTGAAGGACTTATTTAGGACCTTACCAATATAATAGGAGAGTTTCAATCTTAAATCTTAATATTTTAATCTAAACAAATACTTTTTTAAAATATTATTAAAAAGACACTCAAGTATTTGACTCATTAATTTATGTATCTTCTGTATAAATAGCAGAATTTGAATCTTTTTTCTCTAAATTATAAAAATATTATTAAAAAAGGGATATCAATAAAAAATAAAAAGATATAGTAAAATAATAAATAATAATAATAATAAACATATGGTATAAATAATTATTAATATTGTAGTTTATAGGCAACCATGTATTATCATTGCATTTTTTAGATGTAGTATGCATCCATTTAGAAATATTTTGTATACAAGTTAAAGACTGATGATAAGACTTCTCAAGAAGCTTGCGAAGGCAAATTTGCTTAGGAAATACTCTAAGTGAAAGAATATTTTCGAGTCTAGCCAATATGATAGGAAGGCTCAAAGAATGTGTTTAATAAAAGGCCTTTGTTTGTATTAAGGATTGCATGCACGAAAAAAATCATTTTTTACCCATAAATAATTACTTCGATGATGGAATTTACTTAATAAACTTACAAAGGCGAGTTTTTCTAAATAATTCCTTAGGTAAAGAGAATATCTCCGAATCATACCCTTATGATGAGAGGATTCAGGAGATATTCTCAATAAAAGATTTTTATTTGACATTTATTGAGATTTATGTCATGTATTTCATAATTGCACCATGTGCATATCACATACGTGAAATCGAATAATCTACTTTAAGGTAGTAATTAAAAAATAAATAAATAATAATTAAAAAATATAAAAATAAAATTAAAAATTAAGATTTAAATAGAATAATACATTATTAAATAGTATTATTCATGGAATAAAAATCATGAGGTGTTAACTGTTTTTTATACGTGATTGTATTTTGAAACTCAATTTTAAAATTCATAAAATAAATTATTATTATTTAAATAAATTTAAAATTAATTTAAAATTTCGTTGAATAAAATGAATTTAACAGCTGATCAACAGCATTTAAATAAAAAAAATTAATGATACTCTTACATTTCATATTGGGTGGTCAAGTTTCCGTATCCGCATGTAACGACAAATGGAGGAAGCTCACACTGAGACCGAGTGAGAAGTTGGTGTTGGTGTTGAGGGAGTGTGAGAGGTGGTGCTTGACTCTTGAGGAAAAGTCTTTACTTTTGTGAGGCATCAAAATCTGGACTAAATGACCCAACTCTGGCCCATTTTATTTTATTCTTTTTAGCAATTATATTATTTTCATATTTTGTATTGACACAGTGATTACTCGTGAACTACCGTCAGCCCATCGATGGTCTCGGCGTGTGGAAACAGAAAGCCGTAACTTTTTTTAAAAAAATATATTATTTATAAAAATTTAAATAAATTTTTATTTTTTATTATATTTAATTAAAATTTTTATATTTTTATTTTAAATTAAATAAATTTTTATAATTAATAATTAATTAAATTAATAATACTTATAATTTATGTCACGTGACGTTGAAATGATAATTTATAATGATGTAATATATTAATATAATATAATGACATAATTATTTGTACATTTTCACTAATTACAATTATATATGTCAAATTTTCTTAGTAATTATAAATGCATGCATATTGCAATCCAGGAACCCACACATGTACATTTGCTCTTATAGTGCAGGAATACCGCGAGGGAAAAGAGCTGCCAAGAGTCAAACAAATAAAGATGCTGTGAAATTAAGGATCAAATTAAGGGTGAAGAGGCGTCAATATTTCTTCAAAGATTGTAATCTTAGAAATTGAAATTTTAAAGTAAATGCTTGAATCTCACAGGCAAGCAGCAGCTCTGAGTTTCGAAGGAAACTTGGAGGAGTCCTTTGATTAAAGCATTTTCTGATGCTCAATTATTAACTGCCTGGATTGGCTTATCTTGCACTTCTCTCGTTGATTTTAACTAGGGTTTTTCCCTTTATTTTCAGCTTTTATTCTTACAACAAATACGCCTCAAGTTCCACATATTTCTTTCTTTGCATTTTGCTTTCCGGATATATTCGACTTTCAACTACATGAACAAAAATTTGCTCTTTATATTAAGCTCTAACCAACAACAATTGAATCAGCACTGAAAGCAAACTTGTGGTATACCAATGGTTGCAACTACTGCAAAACTGCTGCACCTCTTGACTC